CTGTGTAGAAGCTCAAAGGTTAGTTTAATTTATCTGTAAATCTACATAGGCTATAATAGCTCAAGATGGCACAGAATGAAATAATTATTGTATTTTAAAAAAATAGTTATTTATCTGGCTGAGCCAGGTCTTAGTTGCAGCATGCAGTATTATTTCAGTTGTGGCATGTGGGATCTAGTTCCTCCATCAGGGACTGAACCCGATTTCTCTGCATTAGGAGTACAGAGTCTTAACCACTGGACCACCAGGGAAGTCTCTAGATAATTACTTTAAACACACACACATACACAAACACACTTCTCAACATAACTACATTAGGGAAACTTGAAAAGTAGAGGAAAAAACCCCCATAGGTCCACTCTATGACACACCATTAAGAGGTTTTTTTTTCCCTTAAGACTTGGCATTACTTACTTTTATCTGTCTATTCATTTATTTATTTTTATTGAAGTAGAGTTGATTTATAATATTGAGTGAGTTTCAGGTGTACAACAAATTGATTCAGTCATATAAAGAGTTTTTATCAGACTATTTTCCATTATAGGTTATTAAAAGATACTGAATATAATTCCTTACATTATATAGTAAATTCTTGTTGCTTATCTAGTTTATGTATAGTACTTTATATATGTTAATTACACGCTCCTAATTTGTCCATTCTACCCTTTTTTCCCCTTTGGTAACTACATGTTCGTTTTCTATGTCTGAGTTTGTTTCTGTTTTGTATATAGGTTCATTTGTGTTTTTTAGATTTTGCATATAAGTGATAACAGATAATATTTGTCTTTGTCTGACTTACTTTACTTAATATGATATTCTCTAGGGCCATCCATGTTGCTACAAATGGCAATATTTCATTCTTTTTGTGGCTGTTTTAATGTTATTTTCCAATCTTTTTCCTATGCATCTGAATTTTAAAACAAACCACTGCTATATACATATACTTTAGTCAGTATCTGGATTTTTCCACTTAACATTATGCCAGTAATCTCTTGAGGCCCATTTTGATTCTGAGAGTTATCAATTTAATGATTCTTTGCTTAATATATTAAGCAAATAATATAGAAACTAATAAAATTATATAAGGGGCTTCCCAGATGCCTCAGTGGTAAAAGACACCTCCTGCAATGCAGGAGATGTGGGTTTGATCCCTGGGTCAGGAAGATCCCCTGGAAGAGGAAATGGCAACCCACTCCAGTATTCTTGCTGGCAAAATCTCATGGACAGAGGAGCCTGGCAAGCTACCATCCCAAGGAGTCAGACACAGTGAGCAACTGAGCACCCACGCACACACACGTGCACCCACAGAGAATTATATGTATGAAAGTATTATTGTGCATACTCTAAAAATGTTCTTGTTTGCAAAATTCGAAGTTTATTTTTAAAAGCAATATTCTCTCTTGATTATAAATCTTATATATGTTGACATTTTTAAAAACTTGGAAAACAGAATAATCAAAGGCTACAACCAGTCATAGATCCTACCATTCAGCTGTAACTATTTTCAAGTTTAGTTTTTTATGTAAAGTCTTTTCAAACAATTTGCATGTCTTTATAATTTAAAGAATTAAGTTGTAGAAATCCCATTTACTTTGGAAAGGGAAGTGGGTTTTCTTTGCCATGGTGATTTCTTCCCAGAATGCACTGGCCCTATTTAATAGTACAGTGCTCTTCAAATGGTCTTCTGGGTTTTGAACAGTGGACCAGGTGGGCAGCTGCTGGGGCAGGGAGAAAAATCAGTATGTGGCTGGACATGCTGAAAATGTTCTAAAGAATAGAGGTTAGAGCTTGGTACCCTGCAAGCCAAAGGATGAACTCTTATACAAACCACTTATCCAATGCTTCTCAGATGGCCCTAGGATGCATTTCAATTTCAAGAGGTATCTGGAGAAACTGGGAGAATCAGATGAAAGAGTGGATCTTTCCACTCTAGATGGATGGATGGGTTACAATCCATCTTCAGGTCAAACGTTCAGAGAACATACTCATGATGGAGTTTTTAGAGGTGTCTTCTCGGTACACCCATAGCAGGCATGTCGTGGTATTAGTGCCAGCACACTACTCATGAAAAGCCACCATGCTGGAAACCTCATTGACAGAAAGACAACTTTGGAAATGGATCCTTCATTTTTCTAAATTTAAAAACATTTTCAACAAGGTGATACATTCTTATGTTTCAAAAATCCAAAAGGTTCAGAAGGGTAAGTTGTGTCATCTCCCCACACTGCCTGGTCCCTAGTCATCTAATTTCCCTCCCAGAGACAACCAATGTCACCAGCTTTTTATGACTCTCTCTGGAGATCAGAGCCAAGGAAGGGAATGGGAATGTGGGAATGGGTGCTCCCAGAGTTGATGAACACATCACTGTGTGGGAGATTATCTCTGGATAAAGAGGTGCCTGGGCAGACGAAGCAGTGCTGTCTCAACCCTTTTATTAACCACCCTAAATCCGCAGGCAGCTAATAGGTTTAGATTTTGAAGGGAAGGCTTACTTGATATAAGCAGATAACGCCTGGCGCTAATGAGAAAGGCTAATAATTGAGTTGCTCTATGTCAGGTTCCATTTAAAGAGCCAGGTCATGATTCATGGCGTGTTTATTCCCTCTAAGGATGGCTGGGGCTAAGAGTACCATAATCTTCCATATGAGCAATTTTCTAAATGTAAAACATTATCATATGTTTGTATTATTTTGATAAGACTCAGCGGCATTTACCAAACCTCTTAGCATTTAAAGAAATACTGAAAACAATTTGAAAATCATAAGTATTATTTTTATAAGTCTCAGAGCCTAAATATACCTCGACCATAATGCAACACTAATGATGTAATATAAATTAATGGAAAAATACCAGGAGACATTTACTTTACTGCCAAGTTTTAAAGAACACCTAAGCAAGGAATATTTATCTCAGTGATATGAACACTTTTTCCTTCTCTGGAAATTTAATTTTCTAGAAAATGGAACTGTAATTGACTTGTGTGTGCTTAATTGCTCAGTCATGTCCGACTCTTTTCAACCCCATGGAATGTAGCCTGCCAGGCTCCTCTGTCCATGCGGATTCTCCAGGCTAGAATACTGGATTGGGTTGCCATGCCCTCCTCCAGGGGATCTTGCCAACCCAGGGATTGAACCCAAGTCTCCAACATTGCAGGCAAATTCATTACAGTCTGTGTCACCAGGGAAGCCCAAGATTACTGGAGTGAGTAGCATATCCCTTTTGCAGGGGATCTTCCCAACCCAGGAATCAAGCGGGGGTGGGGGGGTGTCTCCTGCATTGCAGGCAGATTCTTTACCAGCTGAGTTACCTGGGAATTATATTTGTTTCAGTTATACAACATAAGTGATTCAGTATTTTTATACATTATGAAGTGATCACTATGATAAGTCTGTTATCATATGTCACTGTAGAAAGCTATTACAATATTATTGACGATATTTCCTGTGCTGCACATTACTTTGCTATACATTACTGGTATTTTGTACCTCTTAATCCCCTTCATCTAATTCACCCACTCCCCCACCAATGTCTTTCAAGACATTTTAAAGAGTGTTAACCAGTATATCGTGGGAAAAACCTTTAAAGCTTACCTTCGTATCAGTTGTTACCAAGAAAACAAAACAAAACCCACTGCAGATACCATCACACCATGATGTAAGGCTCCCCTACAAAGGCTGTTTCTAGTTTGGGGATCAGTATTTGCTTTCCAGAAAGATCTACCATGGTATTCTTCATGCAGTCATCTGTCCCAGTATGTTTTTTTTTTTTTTTTTAAACAATTTAAGTTTCAAAGTAAGGAGATCAAACCAGTCAATCCTGAAGAAAATCAACCCTGAATACTCATTGGAAGGACTGATGCTGAAGCTCCAATACTTTGGCCCCCTGATCACTGGAAAAGACCCTACTGCTGGGAAAGACTAGAGGCAAAAGGAGAAGAGGGCAGCAGAAGATGATATGGTTGGATAGCATCACTGACTCAAGACATGAACTTGGGCAAACTCTGGGAGATAGTGAAGGACAGGGAGGCCTGGCATGCTGTAGTCGCGGGGTTGCAAAGAGTAGGACACCACTTAGTAACTGAACAACAACAGGCTTCAAAGATTTGACCGACATGCAAATTCTTTGAAAAATCTTATATAACGTCTGTTCTGTACAGCAAAGGGCCTTCCCAGGTGGCTCAATGGCAAAGAATCCACCTGCCAAAGCAGGAGATGCAAGAGACGGGTTTGATCCCTGGGTTGGAAGATCCTCTGGAGTAGGAAATGACAATCCACTCCAAGATTCTTGTAGTGGAAAAGAAGCTTGCCTGGATAATTTCACGGACAGAGGAGCCTGGCGGGCTTTAGTCCATGGGGTCGCAAAAGAGTCAGAGATGACTGAGCACACACACACACACACACACACACACACACACATAACAAAGCACTTAAACCCATGAGAGAGAAACACAGAACACCACCTATGAAGTATGCAGTTCAGACTATATGATCACTCAAGCCTCTTCCAGTTTTAGCAGCCTGTGAAACTGAAGTGTGTTGGCAGAAGAAATGGTAGGACGATAGTGAGCTTCTGTGGCATCAGTAAAAATCAGATTCCTTTCTAAGCTATGCCTTCTAAAAACTGAGCTTCTACCCTTTCTAAGCTATGTCTACTGTGAGTCCAAAGTAGACATGTCTGTGCCCACACTGACTTTCACCAGCATCTGTTCTGGGCATAAAACTTCAACTGAGTCTCTTTAAGAGCAAGAATAAATGATGCTAATGCTTGTTTTTTGGACCAGAATATAAAACTAAGAAAGAAACCAAAACACAGCCCTCTAGAATGATTTAGACTTCTTTGGAAGAAAACAAACAAAAAAGGACTTAATTTCAGAAATGTTCACTAGATGGTGTTGTGCTAAACTATATTATAAAAAATTTAAATTGTGGTGAAATACATATAACATAAAATTTACCATCTTACTCACTTTTAAGTTGCCCAACTGCATCTTGTTTACCTACCTGGTAAACTGTCGACTCTCTTCATGAACTTCCATTTCTGTGCTTTTAAATTCATTTAGTTCTTTCCTTATTGCTGCCTAAGTAAGAAACAATAGACAAACAGAATTACTAGTTAGAGCACACATTTCCTCAGCATATATAGCATCAATGAATCAGACACTCTTTTATGAAGTATCTTGAAGAAAGGAATTTCGAGTTCCTACCTCTAAAGATGGGATAAATGTAGTATTGATACCACAGCCAAACAAAAACCAGGACAGATCTGCAAGTGTCACTGACGAGGCAAGAGAGGAAGGGGGCTTTTGCCAAACCCACCCTGAGGCCTGATCTATGTGAGTCACACACCCACCGCATCCTCGATGACCACAAGGCAAGCACAGGTCATGAGTTTTTCTGAGAAACAGTATCATTTTCCTATGAAAGTTCTGCATTTCATACCACCCACAGCAACATGGCTTTGACAAGCTGCCACAGAGCTACAGAGAAGGCAATTGCTATTTATTCTTTGGTATTGAAAGTTTAGACAATTAGAATGAAACATTTCAGCACAGCACTTAAAGCCACTCAAAGAAAATATTGAGGAGAACGCTGTTTCCATTATTATTTATTGAACACATAATCCAAGCTGTGTACATGCTGGGGTTGGAAGAGATGCTTACAGGTTGAAAAGCTGAGATACTCATCCAAATGTTAACACTGGTTATCATTAACAATACTGGCTAGATCATGGATGGTTTTTTGGTTTCAATTTTATGCTTATCTTTATTTTCTAATTTTTCTATGAAGTTTTTTTGGGGGGGACTGCTTGAGATCTTTGTTGCTGGGAGTGGGCAGATTGCTCTAGCTGCAGCAAGAAGGGTCTACTCTCTAGTTGTGGTATATAGGCTTCTCATTGTGGTGGCTCCTCTTGTTATGGAGCATGGGTCCTAGAATGCACGGGCCAGTAGTTGCAGCTCACAGGCTTAGTTGCTCTGAACTATCTGGAGTCTTCATGCAACAGGGATCGAAGCTGAGTCCCTTGCATTGGTAGGCAGATTCTTTACCACTGAACCACCAGGGAAGTCCTTATGATGACGTTTTGTAAATGAAAAAATACTCATAAAAAGCATCCTCAGAACCTCTGAGAAATGGACTTCTCAGCTGAAACACAGAATGAAGTTACAAACCACAGTGATAAGAAAATCTACTTTGTGATTGGGGGGCTTCCCCGATGACTCAGCAGGTAAAGAATCCACCTACAATGCAGGAAACACAGGAGATGCACGTTTGATCCCTGGGTCAGAAGGATCCCCTGGAGGAGGAAATGGCAACCCACTCCAGTACTCATGCCTGAGAAATGCCATGGAGCCTGGCTGGCTACAATCCAAAGTGTCGAAAGGAGTTGGACACGACTGAGCACAGCATACACACTTTGTGGTTGGAAAATGATGTATTTTAGAAAAGGAAAAAAACAGAAGAAATCCCTGAGGCTTCTCTCTGGCTTTCTCTCATCACTAGCGATCACTCTGCAATATATAAGCTTTTCCCCAATGCTGCTTTCAATCTTATGTTTAAATCCTATCGTCGCAGATTGTTTTTCTCTCCAAATCTATTCCTCAGTCCCTGTAGTTTCTATGAGGAACCTGAGGCTGGGAACTGTGGCAATGGTTCTTGCCACTGGCTTTTGAAAGAGGATGAATCCAGTAGAGAAATATTTCAGGGCCCAAGTCCCCTGTGATAAGAGTACATATCTTGTTTCACAAATGAGATCAACAGTAAGGACACTCTTTTTTACTCAGTGTAAAAAACTGATACCCGGAACCAGGAGCTAAAATAGTGAAGAATGCGGCTTCCCTGATGGTCCACTGGCTAAGAATCCGCCTCACAATGCTGGGGACATCAGTTCGATACCTAGTCTGGGAAGATCCCAAATGCCAAGGGGCAACTAAGCCTGCATGCCATAGCTGCTGAAGCCCATGCTTAAGAGCCTGTGCTCTGAAACAAGAGAAGCCACCACAATGAGAAGCTTGTGCACTGCAAGGAAAAATAGACCCCACTCACTGCAACTAAAGAAAGGCTGAGCGCAACAACAAGCACCCAACACAACCAAAAAAGAAACAGGTAGGAAAACGAGCAAAGACTCTATACTCATTACCAATTAACATCTATCAAAAAGCTTTCTTTTATCTACTCAACTGTCCACTGATAGATGAATGGATAAAGAAGATATGGTATATGCACACACACACACACACACAATGGGGTATTACTCAGCCATAAAAATAATGAAATCTTACCATTTGCAACAACATGGATAGACCTAGAGGGTACTATGTTAAGTGAACTAAGTCAGACAGAGAAAAATAAATACCATATGATTTAATTTATATGTGGAATCTAAAAAAATAAATGAACAAACACAACAAACCAGAAACAGATGCATAGATACAAAGAATAAACTGGTGGTTGCCAGGGGTGAGAGGGGTAGGGAGAAGGATGAGTAAAATAGGAGCGAGAGATTAAGAGGTACAAACTTTCAGTTATAAAATAAATGAGTCATAAGGATGTAATGTATAGCACAGGGATACAGTCAATAATATGGTGACAGATAGGCCCTTACTTCAAGTCTCACACTCTTTCTAGTAAAATGAACTTCAGGGCCTATGTCATCCACATACTTGTCTCATTTCCATGCTGTATGTGTTGGTTGTAATTAGAAATGATGAGTCAATTATAGGCAATGAATATGATGTGAAATTACAGGGGCTGGTTATTTGAAAATATAGATCAGGAGGATGTGACTCTAGGCAGTCAAAGGAGTGCAATACTCATTTAAAAAAATCTACCGAACAAAGACCGCAGCTTTATTCCATAAGTTACTTCCTCTTACCATTTAAAGAGAAAGTTTCCTGAAAGAGTTTTGAAAGGGAAAAAAAAAAGTAATTAAATGCCCTTTATGTCAGGGAAATACACAGACAATAATCTTAAATCCTTTCTATACAAATAAGACCAGAATTGAAGTCTAAGAACTATTCACGTAAGTGTAAATGAGACTGATATTTTTTTGAGTTGTTTTTGTGTGTGTGTTTTTGTCTGGTTTTGGCCTCACCCTGCAGCATGTGGGATCTTAATTCCCTGACCAGGGATTGAACTCTTGCCCCCTGCATTGAAAGCATGGAGTCTCAACCATGGGACCACCAGGAAAGTCCTGGGGCTGATAGTTTTTTGAAAGAGAATGCGACAGGAAGAGGTAGGCAGAGCTAGTGGGACTGGAGCCTGAATGGTGCTGAGTTCTATCAACCACAGGAAGCCATTCAGCCCAAACTAGGTATTTCTAAGATTGAAACAAATCAAGCCCACAGAAGACAGTACTGGCATCGAAGAGTAATTTTTGGTACCATGAGAATTATAGAAAGGACAAAGAAAAATTAAAAAAAAGACTTGAACTAGGTTAAAACTGACTCGTGATGATGGTAACAGAACATCTACGTATCACTCTCAGCCTACTCAAGGGTCAGCCTCGCCAGAGGTAACAGGTGATTTGCTGAATACACGGACCTTGCTGCCTTCTCAAATAACATAATCTGTGAAGCCAGGATGAACTAGAACTCCCATCATTTTCATGCCTTTTATTTATTTCTTTTTTTTTTTTGATTCTTTTATTGTTTATTTGTTTTCTATTCCATTAATTCCTGTGTGTATTTTTTTTTTTTAAATTTATTTATTTATTTATTTATTTATTTAACATGGAGAGGATTTCTTGACTACTCATCAAGATCAATGCCATGGGTAGGTAAGTATACTCAGCTGTCTGGGTAAGCACAAAGAAGCCAAAGAATCTCTCTCTATGGAATTAAAATCTCAGTCTTTCCTAGGACCTGTTTAGATACTGTATCCCTGAAAGGGTGGTATGTTCTATTCATTCTTATGTTCCCAGCATCTAAGCTAATACTTAATATAATCAGTTCAGTTCAGTTCAGTTGCTCAGTCATGTCCGACTCTTTGCGACCCCATGAATCGCAGCATGCCAGGCCTCCCTGTCCATCACCAACTCCCGGAGTTTACTCAAACTCATGTCCATCGAGTCGGTGATGCCATCCAGCCATCTCATCCTCTGTCGTCCCCTTCTCCTCCTGCCCCCAATCCCTCCCAGCATCAGGGTCTTTTCCAATGAGTCAACTCTTCACATGTGGTGGCCGAAGTATTGGAGTTTCAGCTTCAGCATCAGTCCTTCCAATGACCATTAGGAGGTTTTTAATAAATGACTACTGAGTAACTTGTTGGACAAACCCGTGTATCATCTGAAAAATGTTGGATTCTCTTTCATTGGATAAATTTAGACTAGACTGTAAACTGAGGTTTCAATGAGTAATGAAAATGTCACCAACGGGGAAAAAGCTTAACTTATCAAGCCTGACCATGACTGTAATACTGGTAAGAGTTACCCTTTATTGACTGGGCATCGATTGGTTATTGACTACTTGATATTGATCCCTTTTCTTTACACTTGAAGTTCAAAGAAACTTTAAATGCAAAGTGGCATCTTAGTGGAGCTAAGAAAATAGCACTAACAAAAGAGACAGAAAGGATGGCTTCCTTAGCCTGGCAGGAAGTTCAGTGTTTATTTTGAAAGCAGAGGTAGAAATATTTACTTTCAATATTTTTTTTTCTTTAAATGGGATACATAGTTCAAAAGCAAAACTTTTTAATATGAAAGGTAAATACAAGTTTTTGTTATCAATGAACTAAAACTATATTATAAATCTTATTATATATTATGAAATGTTTTAAGGTAAAAAGCAACAGAAATCCAGAAATGATTTTTATAATAATGATGATTAGCATACCTTTTCATTCTAAAATAAAATATATCCTAAGACTGTTGATACTTTTAGTATCTCTGGGCAATAAGTAACATTTCACTATACACATCTTTTAACATCCAGAGAAAAATAAATGATCTTTTTCCAGTGTTAGGTTAAAAACAATATTTTTAGAAGCTCTTAAAAATTTCATGCATTGATGTGCACTGCAATTGTTATTTCCTCGCCTTGTATTTTTGAATATTCTGATTTCTGCCAATGAACATAAGTCACCTGTGTGTATACAAAGTACTATATATTAAAAGCATTTTTATTTTATTTAAAAAAATTTTTGTAGTTGATTTACAATGTGTTATATAGCAAAAGAAGTATTTTAAATTATCTTTTTTTCTATTTTCTATCTTTAAAAAGTACACATTTTTTTCTATCCAAAAAGAAATTGTTCTTATTTTTCTTTAAGGAAGAAAAAAACCCCTACAGTACAAATCCAGTTCTAAAAATGCAGTCATTGAGACCTTCAGAATCTCAGGGTTAAGGGGAGAGAAAATGCGAAAGGGAGAAAATGAGTCTCATGTATGGGTAGAGAGGCCCCTGGCTTAGCTCTGCTGCTCAGGGTTTAATCGGCAAGGGAGACATGAATGTCATGTGCTTTCAAGTTACTCATGAACAGACATTAAGCCTACAGAAGAAAACTTGACCAAATACATCTCCCCTGCAGCCTACAAGTTCAGCACAAAAATCTACTTTTGTTTCAATAACAAAATTTAAAAGAAAAACCCTCTCTGTTATTATAGCTCGAGGTGGATAAACTTTACCTTCCAATAACAGACAAGGGTTAGGAAGGACTACTTCGAGCATATGGGAAAATGCAGTTCCCATAAGAGGGTGGTTAATCATTTAGACTCTCATTGTTTGTACACTTTGCACTTGCACGTGATTTCTACTCATTTACCTGGCCACCCTCTACCTGCCTTTCTGAACTTCAACATTTGAGTAACATAATAACTGGGAATGGTGGAAATGGCAAACTGTGTTTTCCAAAGATGGCAGCAATAATAATTCCAGCTCACACACTCTTCTGCAATATGACCTTGCCACCATTCCCCCACTGAAAGGTAGAGCTAATTACCCGCCCCTTGAATCTGAGCTGACCTTATGACTTGCTTAGAACTAACAGAATGTTGGGAAAGCGAGGCTGGGTGCCTTCTAAAGCTGGGTCAGAAAAATCCATGCAGCTTTTACCTGGTTCTCTCTGGGTACATGCTCTGGGACAAGCCAGCCACCATGTAAGAAATCTGACAACAACTCTGAGGCCACCATGCTGAAAAAGCCACCTCTCGGTGGTTTGGTGGACAGCCCCAGCTGAGCCCAGGGCTACGCCTAGCCTCTGAGACATCGTCAGGTAGTAAAAAATCTGCCTGCAATGCAGGAGACCTGGGTTTGATCCCTGGGTCAGGAAGATCCCCTGGAGAAGGGAAAGGCTACCACTCCAGTATTTTTGCCTGGAGAATTCCATGGACAGAGAAGCTTGGGGGCTACAGTTCATGGGGTCCCAAAGAATCAGACACAACAGAGTTACTAACACTTTCTTTTCACTTTTCACCAAGACACCAGACATGTAAACAAGCCACTTCAGACCCTCCACAGAAGCCCATCTGTCAGCTGAGTAACAGTCAATGACCTGAATCTCTCTTGCCTAAGGGCAAGAGACCATATTAAGTAGTTTACAGGCAATTCTTGGAAACCCATAAACTTGACTAGTTCCTTCAGGAAACATGGTAGTGATTGATGGTGGGCTTGACCCAGGGCCTGAGTATCACAGTCTCCTTCATGCCCTCGTGGCTGCCCTCAATCCGCGTGATTCCACCTGCCTGGGAAAGCCTCCTCTTTTGGTGCACCTTCCTCCGCCTCGCTGACCATCCCACCCTCAAGGGTTTTCTCCTCACCTTTTCTGCATAAGCAGTGACTTGCTGCTCCATTGATTATGCGCCACTCTACCACTTACTGACTTTTTCTCCCAGAGGTAACCTTTCCCTTTCTTTTGGCTCCTTTCTCATGGCATGAAAGATTGCTCGGGCATTTCCCACATATTAGGAAAAAAATCATTCTCTTGATATTCTTATTTTCCAAATCTACTCACTCAAGCTCGCAGCATCCACAATCATTCTCCCTCAAGTGACCACCTTATATCTCTTCTTCACAGAAAGACTCTGGGACTGTGTTTTATTCTCAGGGTTCCCACCACAGTCGGGCTTCCACCTGTCTGTCTGTTAAAATGCCTCCTCTCACTACGTAACCAACCACTTGTGAGCTGACACTCCCCTCCCCAGGCTGCTGGGCTAACTCTTCTCTTTCCCCTCCTCAGAGACATTTCATTTCAGTGATTTTTAATGGCCCTTCATGTTGGCTTCAGTTCAGTTCAGTCGCTCATTCATGTCCAACTCTTTGCGACCCCATGGACTGCAGCACACCAGGCGTCCCTGTCCATCACCAACTCGCGAAGCTTGCTCAAACTCATGTCCATCGAGTTGGTGATGCCATCCAACTGTCTCATCGTCTGTCATCCCCTTCTCCTCCTGCCATCAATCTTTCCCAGCACCAGAGTCTTTCCCAATGAGTCAGTTCTTTGAATCAGGTGGCCGAAGTACTGGAGTTTCAGCTTCAGCATCAGTCCTTCCAATGAGGGACTGATTGACTTTCTTGGGTGCTATTCCCAGGCTCCAGAATTCCCTTTTCATTCTTCCTTTGTAACCTTACTCCTTCCTAGTTTTCACTTCTTATGAGCTAAGAATTACTGACTCTATATCTCCAATATGAGCCTGACACATACTAGGTGCTTTACAGAATGAATTCAATTAAATGGTGTCAGCATAGAGTGTAACTAAATGCCTAGTTCTAATATTAAGACTGGGTATGACATGAGTTTATTTGATACCAAATTTTGTTCAGAGACAAAAATTAGAAACCATTATTTGGGAGATCAGAAAAACTGTAAAATGAAAAATGTAAAAACAAACAACTGATTGGCAAAATTCTTTAACTATGTAACCATAATACTCATAAAACTGTCTTTCTTCATGATGGAACCCTCTATATATTGCAGTTTTTCTGAGCTGTGAGGCATGAAAGAGATTGAGGGTTGGTAAACCATGACACACGGGCCAAGTGTGGTCCACCATCTGCTTTTTTAAAAGTTTTTAATTGAAGGATAATTGCTTTACAGGGTTTTGTGGCTTTCTGTTATACATTAAGGAGAATCAGCCATAGATACACCCATGTCCCCTTCCTCCTGGACCTCCCACCCATCTCCCTCCCCATCTCAACCTTCAGCCTGTCACAGAGCCCCAGTTTGAGTTCCTTGAGCCATACAGCAAATTCCCATTAGCTATCTATTTTACATATGGTATTGTAAATTTCTATGTTACTCTCTCCATAAATCTCCCCTTCTCCCTCCTCTCCTCCCACTGTGTCCACAGATCTGTTCCCTATGTCAGTTTCTCCACTGCTGCCCTGAAAATAAATTCATCAGTGCCATCTCTTCAGATTTCATATATATGTGTCAGAATACAATATTCATATTTCTCTTTCTGACTTACTTCACTCTGTATAATAGGCTCTAGTTTCATCCACCTCATTAGAACAGATTCAAACGAGTTCCTTTTTATGGCTGAGTTGTATTCCAATATCTATATGTACCACAGCTTCTTTATCCATTCATCTGTTGATGGACATCTAGGTTGCTTCCATGTTCTAGCTATTGTAAATAGTGCTGCAATGAACAATGGAGTACATGTGTCTTTTTCAGTTTTGATTTACTCAGGGTATGTGCCTAGGAGTGGGATTGCTGGGTCATATGGTGGTTTTATTCCTAGCTTTTTAAGGAGTCTCCATACCGTCTTCCACAGTGGCTGTATCAGTTTACATTCCCACCAGCAATGCAAGAGTGTTCCCTTTTCTCCACACCCTCTCCAGCATTTATTGTTTGTAGACTTTGTGATGATGGCCATTCTGACTGGTGTGAAGTGGTATCTCATTATAGTTTTGATTTGTATTTCTCTAATAATGAGTGATGCTGAGCATCTTCTCATGTGCTTGTTAACCATCTGTATGTCTTCTTTGGAGAAATGTCTCTTCAGGTCCCTTTCCCACTTTTTGATTGGGTTGTTTGCTTTTCTGGTATTGAGTTGTATGAGCTGCTTGTATATTTTGGAAATTAATTCTTTATCAGTTGTTTCCTTTACTATTATTTTCTCCCATTCTGAAGGCTGTCTTTTCACCTTGTTTGTAGTTTCCTTTGCTGTGCAAAAGCTTTTAAGTTTAATTAGGTCCCACTTGTTTATTTTTGTTTTTATTTCCATTACTCTAGGAGGTGGGTCATGATTTATGTCATCGAGTGTTCTGTCTCATCATCTGTTTTTATAAAGCTTTATTGGACCACATATAGATCCACTGATTTACATACTGTCTATGGCTGCTTCCCTGCTACAAAGGCAGAGTTGAGCCATTGTAATAAAGACTGGATGACCCACAAAGCCTAAAATATTGACTTGCTGAACATTTATAGAAAATGTGTGCCAGCCTTGATACACATCAATACCTTTTCCAAGAATAACTTGTATATTTTCTAAGAGTAAGGATAAATAATGGTTGTGGGAAAGCACTCTCCCACCCCAATTCAGATTTGTTTGCAAGTAGGTTACCTGTTAACTAAGAACAAAGTTTTTTTCTGAAACTCAGTTGAAAGAACTATGTTGATATTAAATATATCACTTAAGTGGCTTAAATAATCAAAGGCAGAAAAGTATTAGGATATTTGGTAATACTTAATCTCCTAAAATGACTAAGTAGAGGCTAAGTAGGTACTGGCAATTTCAGAAAAGCAATAAAATCGTAAGTAAATAAAATCATGGCTCATGCCACTGAAGTCTTGCCTTGTCTGCAGGTGTTAACCTGGCCCAGGGCTTGTCTGCCCGGCGATCATAGTCGGGTGAATCGGTCACTTCCACATACTCGTTAAACCGCAGGATCCTTCGAGCTTGCAGCTCGGCCACTGTGGGTCTCAGGCTGAGCTGCAGGAGGATAAGGAAGAAAGGATAGTTCAATAAACCATTTACAGCCTCATGGTGGCATGTTTTTCTATAGAGAACTTCAAAGTTATAAGGTCACTTTCAGATATCAAAAAAAAAGGCAGCAGCATCTTGGGAGTTTCTAATGAGAACTAGAAAGCAGTATGCCCTAATTTTGAGGCTATAAAAATCATCTTCGTTAGATAGGTCACAGTCTTTGGCAACTGGCTGCAATACGCTATCTTCCCCACCTTGCCTGGCATCTCTGACATGGAGAACAGGAAGCAGTACAGACACAATAGTAATCCAGATATGGAATGGCTGGCTTAAAGATTGAATTATCAAGACAGAAGCCCTACAAATTGTAGAAATGGGAATAAAAATCTCTGTTCCTTCTACATTATACCTGCATATTCACAGATGCACAAACTTAACAAAGAAATAGTCCAGTGAAGGGTGAGCCTACAAGTCTTCTGTGAGAGTCTAAGGACCCAGACCAAGATTTGACATTTACCCTTGGCGCCAGAGAAAACTGACGTGCAGGAATGAGGATGGGGGACTTGCTGGAAAACTGCACTTTAGGGAGGTCACAACTGCTTAAAACCAGCTGCAACCTTTAGGACGCTTCCAGTTAGGTGGATTCTGTCTGTGGTCTTTGTGAAATTCAAATTTACAGTTTTATTTAATCTACCATACCCTGTGTGCATTTGCTTTCCTCTCTTGGACCCTTCTCAAGCCCAAGAATAAGACAGAAATGGTTCTTAAGAGAAAAATAAAGAAACTTAGCCCCTGGTTGACAGGTATCATCCACTCTCCAATATTAAGATTCATGATTTTGCAAGCTTTCTCAGTTGGGAGGTGTCACAGTATTGTCAGTTAGGTAGACTCAGTCCTCTGTTTTATAGAAAAGGTCCATTTTCACTCTCTCTCTCTCTGTATATATATATACAGCCAGGCTATCTATGATCTAAGTGGACCTCTTTGGAAGCATTCCTTATTTGTATGGACTCAAGTTTTGGAAAAATTAAGCACGCTCACCAAAAAAGGGATGCTTTTGTAGTCAAAAGTATTCCCTTTCCTCAGCTTCCTCTTGAGTAAAACCAGAGGCTAAACTGTCAGTGCTCTAACATTCAAGGCATTCAGGGATTCTTAGACAGTCTGGGTCTACACACTGAGCCCTCTTGACCTGGGATGTGGCAACGTGGCTTCTTCTATATTCATAAGGCCCTGGTAGGTGATGGACAAAGGAAGGAACAATCTAAGTGGTTTTGTTATCGTCTCAGTTACTGTCCTATATATATATATATATTGTAGCTTCTTACTGCCTTTCCAGGGTGGATACGGTTAAGGAAATAGAGAAACCCTTGCCTCTGGCGACTTCCCCAAAGGCAAGTAACCAGTGGCCACACAGGTCAGAAGTTCTCCATCCAGTCCCGTCCTTCAGGGCTGTATCAGTCCCAGGGTGGCCATTAGTCTCTGGAATGTTTCGCACCTGCAGGAGGGAGCTCTGTGCAGTACAGGCAATTGGAGGCAGGGCAGCTCTGTTGTCTCCCGGAAGCCCCCAAACGGGCTGAGAAAAGATCGTATGTATGACAGGCGTGGACTGAGCAAGGGGGAGGGGTCACTGCTTATCCGTAGTTGGTAACGTGCGCACTAAGTTGCCTTAGTCGTGTCCGACTCTTTGAGACCCTGTGGACTGTAGCCCGCCAGGCTCCTCTGTCCATGGGATTCTCCAGGCAAGAACACTGGAGTGGGTTGCCATGCCCTCCCTCCGAGGGAGCTGGTAACTTAAGGGCCATGAATTGCTAGAAGAGCCATCTCAAGAATGGCTTACAGCATCTTTCTCAGCTTGGTTATTATTTGATGTTTAGGCTCTTTGAGGAAAAAAAGAGATGAATTAAGGATCTTTCCCCCTAAAACTCAAAACCAAAACCTCTCGAAATACAGTCTCCACCCTTCCAATGGGAATGGAGTGCTTCTTCTACCTGCCTGAGAATGCTTTTGCTGTGAACTCCACAGCCAGCCCAGATTAAATGTGGGTCAGGTCACACACTTTGCTGCAGATGTCATATTTTACTCTTCTTGCCTTACTCAGGTGTGAAAGGTTTATCTGAAGAATGTCTGAACAAGGTGCTTATAATGAAATGAAACCTATGATAGTGCTTAATTTTTCTGAAGACTATTACTATTTTAATACTTAAAAAAAAAACTATGGTCTTAGTATCAGATTTCTATTTTCATAAATGAGTAGAAACAACTGTCTGAGTTTTGGAGCAAAACCATTTGTCAACTTGGGTGGCACTGCAGCAAGCAAGCTGGATGATTAAGTTCACCTTATAAATTACTCACTCAGCTCAGAATCTTCAATAATAACCAAATATTTATCCAGTATTTCAAAGACCACGTGGAAAGTGTGAGCATTTTTTAAAACTATAGATTGAAATGTTAATAATGGCTATCTATGAATGGGAGATATTTGCATATTTTCCAGTCTTTTCTGTTTCTTGTGCTGTTTAAATTTTTTCACACAGATTATGCTATTTTCATAACTGGCAAATGTAATTTAGAACTTTTGATTGTCAACTTTTCAAAATTAGAATATTATGCAATTATTAATATAAACATAATTCACATTGCAAGCATTACATTTATTTTAATGTCAGTGATTAGTTAGCAGGTTAATATGAATGTTTATGGTTAGTTAGCTAATAGGAATATTCCTAAATATCAGATTTACATGTAGAGCACTGATCTACATTTTAAAAATGAAGTATATCTCAAAATACACATGTTCATTAACAGTCACAGTTTCATTACCTTTCTGCTGAGTCTGCGTTTAAGTTCCATTTTTGCTTCTTGCTCTTCTTCTTCATTCTTTTCTGTTTATTAATTGGGTGGGAGAGGGAAGGAAAGGCATGAAGATTTAGTTACTATAAAAGATTATATAATCAGAAAAGTAGATCAGGCCAGTTATTTGACTTCACATTAATCAAACACTCCACCAACATCTATAAAAAGCTGTTCAAGATTCTGCAGAAAGATTGATCATTAATTTATAGACATATTATTTTTCCCTTATAGCATTGGTTTATTTACTAACAGTAAACCTTTTTGCTTCCTGATTTCTTGTTTTATTCTGGAAAAAACCCCAAGAATGCCCATACTCTGGTGATCACTGCTGATCATCTCATAGGCTTATAAGAACAATCTATCTGAATTCAGATAAAAACTTATTACTGGATCTGGCCTTCATGTGAAAATCTGAATCACATCAAAAGAATAAATTAAAACCATCTGATGCATGTCTGAGTTGCTGATTTCCATTCAAATCCAAGCAAAATACTTGATTTTTTTGCTTTGATTTCCATAGAAGCAGAATGTAATCATTTCTTTGAATTTTGCTTTCAAACCAGAATGTTCTGAATGGGGTTATGGTGTTTGGTTGATGTGGATGATTTATTTTCTTGTGACTCTAACTTTCCAAAGTCTTCTCTTTATCCAGTGCTTCACCAAGTAGTACAATTTAATGGCCAACTCAAATGAATGCTGTCCAACAGATGGGATTAAGAAAAAAATGTCCAGAACTTTAAAAGAAATAAACACTGCTCAGGATTTAATGCTTGCTACTTGATGAACTTCTCTTGGTTGCTTCCTGAAGCTCATTATTTGTTTGGTAAGTGAGCACAGATTTTCAGATACCAATGTTTATGAAAGATTATCTTTTAGAAAGTGCCATAATGAATTCTACTGAAGGAAAGTCACACTTAGTATAAAGGCTCAACCAAAGAACTGAAAAAGTCTCCTCTACAATTTTAAAAATTCAAATAGACTTCTTACTGTTAAGACTGTTTTTACTGTGAATATAATATCAGTATTCAATATTTGCTTTGTATTTGCTTGCTGAGCATGCTAAATTCTCTATTAATTTTCCTTATCTGGACAGGGAAAAGTTTTGACATTCTTCTGAAATACTAGTTTTAATTCATAAAAAAGAGGACAATCTGTCTGGTTATTTAGACAGAGAAAACATAAACTGAAATCACCTTGTAAGACAAGAAATGACTAGTTAGTATGTTTTCATTAAGTGTCTGTGAGAGCCAAATAAAATTTGATTATAATTCAGATTTTTTCTGAAAATACTGTAGGTTTTTCTAATTGCTTCACAAAATATATATCCTTTGATATCCTTAAAATACATTCTTAGAGTCAAATACTTTATATGAATCGGATAAGGCATGTGGGTTGTAAACTACTTGTGAGACAAACACCAAACTCGTGGTTGATGTGGTTCAAATGAGGGCTTTACAAGGTTAGGCATTTGATGATTTTATTTATTTATTTATTTTTCCATGCATTTGATGATTTTAAGAAAAAAAATCATTAAAACCTTTTTAGTCATTCTTTCTACACAATGATTATGCTACAATTTTCAAAACTACTTTTCAAAGACAAAATACTAGATATCTAATATGACTCAAGGCTAACAAATGCCCCAATTTTCATGAAATATATAAAATTTCATTTCCTTGAAGAGACTATTACTTAATTTTGCCCTATGAAGCACACTGCACGTCTAGGTGTCAGCCAGTGATATTTTTTTAAAAAGAAGGGCCAACTGTAGTTAATTAAATACACAGGACTTTATATACCAATTGGGAATTCCTTTCTAACATCAGGAACTGACTTCCTTACATTTCCCATTTTTGAAATTATGTTTCTAAAGAAATTAGAGGGAGAGGGTGAGATGTGGAAGAAGGCTAATGGAACTCTTCCTCTGAATGTGTTAAATAGTCATTGTTAAATCTTTTACTAAGAGTCAAAATTAAACCTTAAACTCAGTTTGAAAAAATTCACCAAGTTTCTAGAAATTAAAAAAAAAAAACAATTGGGAGGGGGGGATTGGGATGGGGAATACATGTAAATCCATGGCTGATTCATGTTAATGTATGACAAAAACACTACAATATTGTAAAGTAATTAGCCTCCAACTAATAAAAATAAATGGAAAAAGAATTATTAGAGGGTTAATTATAAAGTAGGATGTAAACCTGTCATTTTAAACAGACTGGAAGAATGCTCATGAAGGAAGCTGCTGGCTCACTGACAAATCTTGCCCTCAGTAGCTCATCAGAGTAGAAAGGGGCAGATATCAGAACAGCCACAGAAAGCACATGCCATAAACACACCAACAATACATGCAATTGAACAGCAGTGTGCACTGCAGGAAACCAGCCCTCCAAGTGCTGTCCAGAGCCTCATATGGATGAGCTAAAAGGAGAAACAGAAAAGCAGCGAAGTACCAGCAACTGGAGTGTGAGTATACTCTTCACCAACTCAGACAAGATGGGTTCAAAAAGAGCCAAACATTCTTTCATGAGATTATTTTCACTTTGTGCTGTTTTACATGTTTCTATATGGGTATTGTTAACAAATGAGAATGCAGTAATAAACCTACTTTGAAATACATCCAAAAACAAAATGACTCCATAGATGGACAGATGTGTGACAAAGTAAGATGTTAATGGTAGAATATGGATAGTAGATACATGGATATTACTGTAAAATTGTTTCAACTTTTTTGTATGCTTAAAAAATTTCATAACAAAATGCTGGGGAAAAACACATGTAGAACTCAATGACTTAACACATGTTTTTTCTATGGAAGATTTAGCTGGAATTATAGTCATAACTAAATAGTATAAGAAGATCTGAATATTTTATCCTTACCCTGTCCAAGGTGTCCCATGAAGATCTCTTTTCCTGATAAGCAAAAGCTAACCTTTTAAGCACCATAAGTTGCTTTCTATTTTAACAATATTAAGAAACTAGTACTAAAATCTAACTTAAATATATGTATATTAAAAAAACCCCTAGATGCACTAAATTAAGAAAGAGATCAAGTTAGGTGTGATACTGGGCATGATACTAAGAAATAAAATTTGTCCTGTGGTCTCTGATTAAAGCCATCAGTGTTGTGTGCCATTTGATTCATGTTTATGAAACTAGTGACAGGTTTGGATTTGAGAACTGTTGAATGTTTTTTGCTGTGAATTAGTTTCCTCATCTGTCAAGAAAGGATGACCCAGTTGAGTATGTATCCTTAAAAACCACACCACACACACACACTTCTTCTTCAAATAGACAGTCATATTTCTTTTGAACAAAAAGCTGTAGATGAAACAAACAAGAGTAATCTTCATGGAAGAACATAAACATGACCTGACTGATGAGTAAAAAGTAAAGTCAAGGAAAGTAGAGGGGGAAAGAGAATGGGAAAATGAAGCCATCCGGTTCCCTGGGACTGCTCAGAAGAATGTTCTGGGCGACCTCCACCAGTTCTCTTTTTCTGCTTCCCTTGGCCATACAATATTGTGTCAGGAGATCATAAGCCATTTATCAGCCTCTATAGACTGGAAACGTGTCTTTTGTTTCCAGAATAAGCATGCATAGACAAACTAAGAAGGAAGTTAAAAAAAACGGGCTGGAGTCAAATCTGAAGTTGACTTTGGCGTTTCACTCTTTCCTGAACCTCCAGGAAAATGGAGTATAAACGCCAAGACAGCACTTAAGATCAATGTGTGATAAATTTCTAGATCTATGAAACGGTTCCTCAAATAACCAAACACCAATGTGGTTTGGCACAGTCTGTCTCCCAGGAGCAGGAAAGAATTACCCAGAATTCACCCTTTCTTTTTTCCTAGGTATTGCATCAGGCAGCCAATAAGCCTCACTCTGTGTTTCGGGAGCTTATGGTCTATATTTGAGCTTATCTACAATTTAATTCAATCAATATTTCCCAGGAACCTATTATCAAAAGCCATAAGTCTTTTTGGTTTAGGTTTGTTGTCAAAAATCAGTCGTTGCTTTCATTCTTCTTGCTCAGAAAGCTAAACACAGTTTTTTTTTCTTATCTAGACGTGACTTTTTCCATCTCCAAACTGGCTCCTCTACACACTGATGGTCACTTAAGTCCTTGGGTTCCATTTCAGTTATGCTCACAGCCAGAAAGAAACCTTCCCAAGGGAAGAACCCCATAGACAGTCTTCATAGTTGGGTTTTCTTAGCAAAAGCAACTGTAGAATACATACACTGTTAAAAAATCTTTCTTCTCCTTTGGGAAAGAAAACAACTCATTCGGAGAATGGGGATCATCCAGACAGGCCAACTTGACTCTAAAAGCCTGGTTGAAAAAGATTTCCCACACACTGGCGACTCATTACTATTACAGTACTCTCTGGAGTTCTGCCCAGCCCTACTCTTTGATATTTCATACAATAAAAAGCTCTTTTGAAACTGGGCTAATAATATATAAAACTACAGCTAGGCTCAATTTAAAAATATCCATTACTTAACTCACTGTGGTTAGTAACCACATCGATCCACTACAGCAGGACAAGCTGCTTCTATTTGTTTTATAGCTTCAACATATGAACTCCAGTAACATAAATACGACCAGACTGATGAGTAAAAAGTGAAGTCAAAGAAAATAAAGGGGGAAAGAGAATGGGAAAATGAAGTAGGAAAATGAATGGAGAACTCCTTAGGAGCTGAGAAATTATAAATAACTCAGGAGGGAAATAAGTGTTATCATAACAAAGGAAAATGAAATGGATTGAAAAATTCCTTTTCCCAAAATTCTGTGTTAAATGGAGTCATTTGTTAAACCTGGCAACAAACTGTATTATTAATAATAATATAGGAACGTTTGATTTATTTCCTTGTGGATTCTTAGGCCTTTTCTTTGACATTTAGTTGCAAGCACACTAAAGTGTTTTCTTCTACTTAGTATCTGGGTGAAAGAATATGTGGAATATATTTCATGCTTTTTAAAAACAAATGTCACAACCACAACTGCTGTGGGGGATATCAGGCTTCAAGCCATAAAATTAAATTCAAACTTCAAGAAATTATTTTTAAACTGACAAATAAATAATTGTATTAAAATGTGATCTAAATGGGTCATTTCAATCACTTGTGAATAAATGTATTAAGGTTCCCTGTTGATAAATGGATCATCTCTAGAGGGAGCTTCTTCATGGTTACACAAGGAATTCACTGTGTAGCACATGATACTCACGCTTCAGGATATTTCTCTGTTCTAATTCTTCAGTGGTGGGCCTCTGGCTAAGTCTCCTGTGATGACAAAACAGATACAAGCCAGGTTACAAACAAGGTCCCCTTAGTGGGAGATGCAAAATAAAGCAATAAGCAAAGCTTCATTTCTTTATGTTTTGAGAAACAAAAATCCATTTTACAACTGTTTATTTACTTGGTTGTGTCAGCTCTTAGTTGTGGCACATGGGATGTTAATTTAGTCATGGCGGATTTTTTTTTTTGCTGTGGCGTGCAGGCTTAGCTGCTCCACAGCATGTGGGATCTTAGTTTCCTGACCAAGGATTGAACAAGTCCCCTCACTGCAAGGTGGATTTTTTACCACTGGATCACCAGAAACATTACACAAAAATCCATTTTTAAGCCTACAAAATAAAAGCCCCCTTGCATTACTTTGGAGACTAGAGATTGTGGCTAAGACTGCTAACTACACATCCTCCCTTCTTTTGTCTAGAAGCAGAACTCCCAGAGTTTTAGCTAAACATACAACTATAAATTTCTGCCTCCCCAGTGACAAGGTACAGTCATGTGTCTGAGTTCTTGTGATTTGGGATGTGAGCAGAAGTGGTGTTTGTAACGTCTGCTTTTTACCCTTAAAATGACTGGGAGTGTATTCCTTTCTCTCTCTTTCCTTCTTCCACAGGCCAGAACTTGAATATGATCATGTGAGCCAGCTCGGATTATACAGATGAGGATATCATGGAGACGGAAGAGCAACAAGATGGAAGGAACTGGGAACCTGTGTGACTGCCAGGAGCTGTGTACCCCACCCACACTGGACAGCCCACCTCCTTCCACACTGTGATATGAAAAAGAAACAAACCCTGAAAGTGTCTTGCTTGGACCACGGCACGTTTTGGTCTCTGTTAAGGGGCTTCCTCGGTGGTTCAGATGGTAAAGAATCTGCTTACAGTGCAGGAGACTCAGGTTCGAGCCCTGGTCAGGAAGATGCCCTGGAGAAGGAAGTCGCTACCCACTCCAAAGTTTTTGCCTGGGAAATCCCATGGACAGAGGAGCCTGGCAGGCTATGGTCCAAAGAGTCACAAAGAGTCGGACGTGACTGAGTAACTAACAGTTTCTTTCAGAGCAGCTTAGCCTGTACCCTAATTAACATACAGATCATTAGAATCTAAGAAAAGCCTGCTGCTCAAGAGTTCATACCAACTCATGAGATAATCAATCTATATTGTACAGTGTTTTCAGGAAAATACTGCTTTGGGATCTCAAATAAATTTACAATGCATATAAAGTTATCTCAGGCTACATAAGCCCTTCCCATCTGCCTTCGAGAAAAGCCAGGCTCAGTTGGGATTAGTACCTAACCATTTATACACAAGAGCTCAATGGCCTAATAACCCTTGGTCTTGGTCTTCCTTACATTATTAATTTGTTGTTAGTCACTGACAAAAACTTCCTTGGGATATAGACTGAATTTGTGCAAATTAAATTAGTATACATGAAAGGCAATCTTAATACAAGATGGTGTCAACTCTGTTTATGGCTGTATAGAAATGGTGTGAAGAATTAAAATCAACGATATTTTGAATAGCTCATTAAAACGTTTAACATTTAATCTTCATTAGAGCTATCCTGAAATTCACTTAATATGTGAGCCCACAGAAAGCCCCAGTGAACATCTACGCCAGCCAAATTTTGTGCCATTCATGTATCTTATATTACATATCTGTACTATATTATCCCCCAAAGACACTGTTCTTCTTTTGCTTATGGACTATCTTTATCTGGAATGCCCTTCTCTCCCTCTTCACCTACTGAAATCTCATAAATTATTAAAGGCTCCTGGTTCTTGATCCCTCTAGAATGGTTCTAAATAAATTATGAAAGTGAAAAAGTAAAAGCTAGTCACACAGTCGTGTCCGACTCTGTGATATGGCGGACTGTAGCCCGCCAGGCTCCTCTGTCCATGGAATTCTCCTGGCAAGAATACCGGAGTGGGTTGCCATTTCCTTCTCTGTGGGATCTTCCAAGCCCATGGATTGAACCTGGGTTTCCTGCATTGCAGGCAGATTATTTACCTACTGAGCTACTAGGGAATCCCCCCCAAAAGTGAAAGTTGCTCCGTTGTGTCCGACTCTTTGCAATAGTCCATGGAATTCTCCAGGCCAGAATACTGGAATGGGCAGCCTTTCCCTTTTCCAGGGGATATTCTCAACCCAGGGATTGAACCCAGGTCTCCCACATTACAGAGTCTTTACCAGCTGAGCCACAAGGGAAGCCCAAGAATACTGGAGTGGGTAGCCTATCCCTTCTCCAGGGGATCTTCCCAACCCAGGAACTGGACTGGGCTCTCCTGCATTGCAGGTGGATTCTTTACCAAATGAGCTATCAGAGAAGCCCCACATAAATTATACATCTATTAAACATCTATTAAAGAACTTATCATTATTATAAAGATAATAATCACTGTATACGGTGACAGCAGCCATGAAATCAGAAGACGATTGTTCCTTGGCAGGAAAGCTATGACAAACCTAGACAGTGTGTTGAAAAGCAGAGACATTACTCTGCCAGCAAAGGTCCATATAGTAAAGGTTACAGTCTTCCCAGTGGTCGTGTATGGTTGTGAGAGCTGGACCATAAAGAAGGGAGAATGCCAAAGAATCAATGCCTTAGAACTGTGGTGTTAGAGAAGATCCTCCAAGTCCCTTGGACAGCAAGGAGATCAAACCAGTCAATCTTAAGGGAAACCAACCCTAACTACTCTTTGGAGTAGTTCTTTGGAAGAACTGATCCTGAAGCTGAAGCTCCAGTATTTTGGTCGTCTGATGTGAACAGTCAACTCACTGGAAAAGTCCCTGATGCTGGGAAAGACTGAGGGCAGAAGGAAAAGAGGGTGTCAGAGTATGAGATGGCTGGATGGCAACACTGACACAATGGGCATGAACTTGGGCAAACTTCAGGAGATGAGGGGTCAGGGAGGGCTGGTGTACTGCAGTCCACGGGGTCGCAAAGAGTTGGACACGACTGGGCAACTGAACAACATGGTTGTTTCATGGTGTCAACTTCTCACAATGTTCTTCATCAGTCCCTGTCTTGGAGTGTTTGGGGTTTGTTTTAAGTTGTCATTGCTATAAATACCCTTGAAATAAATATCTTTGTAAAATATAGTGTTTTTTTTTCTCCCCCTGTTGGATTATTTCCTTCTTGCATAACCTTCCAGATAGTATTATCATGTAAAGAAACACTGCTTTAGAATGGTTTTCTCATTTTAAGTCGCTCTTCAGAAACAGTGAACTAGAGCAAGGTAGACATGTCTATTTTTTCATAAAGTTGCTGACATTGGGTTTAATGTTTAAAAGTGTTTTACCGATGTAAGGGATACATAATAATTTAATTAATTAAAAATACTTAATTGTATTAAGTGCTCGCTAGGATCCATGGCTTCGGTGTACCGTCTATTTTACCAGCGTAAGTGCTGGGCTTGGCCTCAATCTGTGAAACAGATAATGGCTTCTGGAACGTTCATGGCCAACCCTGCAGGTACACCACAGTCACAGAAATCTCCCACCCCAAGCAAGGGAGGACTTCTCAACTACCTCCAAATCTTGTTCTGGTGGTTCAGACTGTTCCCTTCTCCCTAATTGATGCAACCTGTTTTTTTTATGCAGCATTAGGGACAGTAGAAAAATAATACTTAAATAAAAGCTTATATTGATAATAAAAAGGAGAGCTTCAGCACTCACGTCTATTAAAACTGCTCGTTACGCATATACGTGGCATCTGGAAAAATAGTACGGATGAGCCTATTTCCAGGGCAGGAACAGAGATGCAGATGAAGAGAACAGACATGTGGACACAGGAGGGGAAGGGGAGGGTGGGACGAGTTGGGAGACCAGGATATATACACTAATATGTGTAAGATAGCTAGGGGAAGCCGCTCTCTAGCACGGGGAGCTCAGATTGGTGCTGTGATGACCTCCAGGGGTGGGATGGGGGGAATGGAGTGGAAAGGAGGTCCAAGAGGGAGGGATGTACGTATTCATATGGCTGGTTCACTTTATTGTACAGCAGAAACCAAGAGAACATTGCAAAGCAATGATAAATAAACTCCAATACAATACCTCCAATAAATAACTCCAATAAAAATAATTTAAAAAAACCCTGCCAATTACATGGGCTCCCAAAGACACAAGTGGCAAAGTAGACATCCTACAATGGCTAAAAGCAGGAAGTGCAGTCAGAGACCATTTATTTGGAGTAAAAAGTGGGAAGTTTTCATTTAGGGGCTATGGTTCCCTGACTTGGATATAATTGGCCACTGACACTAACTAATGTTTCTATCGTCTCACAGCCCCCAGGGCAGAACCTTGTGGCAATCACAGGAACGTTAGGGAGCCCGTGAATCAGACCAGGAGATGGGCAAGCTATGGGTGGCAGGTCAAACGTGGCCTGTTGCCTGTTTTGGTGAAGAACGCTTTCTTGGAATGTAGCCGCACTCATCCGTTTCTGTATTGTTTATGGCTGCTTCCATGCTGCAACAGCACGGTCCAGCAGCTGCAACAGCGCCTGTCTGGCCAACAAAGCCTAAAATATTCACTAACTGGTCCTTTATAGAAAGAGCCTGTCCCTACTTGGATCAGGCTTTGGCGACCTCAAAGCCAACTGGCTAGATGGACCAGTAAACAGGTGCTTTGGACTTCCTCAGTGGTTCAGTGCTTAAGACCCCAAGCTTCCACTGCAGGAGGCATGGATTTGATCCCTGGTTAGGGAACTAAGATCCCACATGTTACAGGGCAGGGCCAAAAAAATTAAAAAAATTAAAAACAGTATTTTTTAAAAAAATAAAGGCAGGCTCATTGAGTGATTTACCATCAAAGACCAACTTTAAAAGATCAGAGAGGCCAACTATGCTCTTCCAGGAGGAGTTCACGGTGATCTCAGTTAGGAAGGGAACTGCAGGAGAAGGAAAAGCCAAGAACTCGTCAGCACTCTTCCCAAACGTCAGCAATTACCTGACGAGCTTGGTTCCAATCTGCTGTCGGATTTCCTGCCTCTCTTCTTCAGATGTGCGCTGCAAGATGTTTTTGTCCTCTAATTCCTTCTTAGATGGTCTGTTGCCAAGTTTGATAGCAAGAGTGTCCCTTCGTCGTATCTTGCTTGCCAAAGCACCTGAGGATTGGAAAAGGCAGGAGTGCAGAGAAAGGCTTTTAACAAGTGGCCCTCAGGTTACACATGGCAGAGGCTTTTTAAACAGAGCCAGACCAAATTCTTTATCCACGGCTCCTCTGTCCATGGGATTCTCCAGCAAGAATACTGGAGTGGGTTGGCATTTCCTCCTCCAGGGAATCTTCCCAACTCAGGGATTGAACCTGTGTCTCTTATGTCTCCTTCACTAGCAGGTGGGTTCTCTACCACTAGCGCCACCTGGGAGGCCCCTATCTTCCATACCGATGTTTTAATCCTAAATTTACCCAAGAATCCCTGATATCTCATAGAGGATGGTAAACACCAAAGGATGACAATGATTTTTGCCATTGCCTGATTTTACTGTTGTTCAATAATGATCTTTTTTATTGTTCAGTACAAACTAGGAGGAATTTGACAAACTACTATTTAGTCATGAATATATTAATAACTTTCCATAAACTGTAAATTCCATACTGAATCCCTCCCAAGTCATCTTTCTCAGAAGCTTTTTTAAAGAATAGCATCCTTCCAGTTGCCTAAGTTATATGTAAACGGTTGGCCTTGTCCACTTTACTATCATTCCTTCTTAGAAAGCATACCATTTTATTACTATAGCTGAGTGCTTTTAGTTCTTAAAAGGTATTAGTCATTCTTGACTCACTCCTCATTTTAAACCACAGTATAAAAGTGAGTGAAATTCTAAAAAAAAAAAAAAAAAAAGTGAGTGAAATTCTCAAACACCTCCCATGGGTAATCCAGTGAATACCCACTGATGCTCCTTATTCAAGAAAGGTCCCAGGGTAGAAGGGTCATCTCTGACCAACCCAAAAAAGGCCTCTGTTGTCTGACTTTTTAGACAAGTTCAAATAGGCATACTGGCCTCACAGACTGTCTCCCTCACCCCTCCGCCTGTGGAATCATCTTTCAGAAAGGTCTGTCATCTACACCTTACCTTCAGAAGATACACACTTCTAATCTGAGAAAGGCAGATGAGGGGAAAGAAAACATCAGGTGTCTGGTTCCTGATGACGCTTTTGTTTTTTCAGAATGCACCTGCTTCTGCCCACCATGGACTTCCCTCCCTCCCTCCCTCTTGAAAAGTCTTACTTTCTCCACTGCCGTCCTCGTCCTCATCATCGTCGTCGTCATCGGTGTACAAGACAGGTCCGTCAGAGTCGGAGTCATTGGCCTGGTATTCCCTCTGGCCTTCGTCCTCTGAGGCACTGAAGGACTCTGAAGACTCTCCCGTCAGCCCAGGAGTCAGGAGCTGAGGCGCTGCCTTCCCCAGCTCGTCTTTGGTTGTGAAGCTGTGAAAGGCACAGACATGGGGGTGGTGTGAAGCTCAGAGCAACCCTCGAGGGTGATGCCAACACATGAGACAGAGCTCTAGTTTCATAAGCATCCTCGGGGCTGTGAAAGGAGAAAGCAACCAGCCAGCTAAAGTCGCTGAAACAGCGCAACAGTACTGCATTCCTTAATTCTCAAGGCTTTAGAGTCTTATCTGGCAAATGAAAAGGATTGACCAGGGAGTGACCAATACATTTAATACATGAATATTGCAAAACTGTATTTTGAAAATGTATTTTTCCCTAGCCACAGGGAGGTTCAGTGGAAAGAACAATGAGCCAGAAACACTTGGATATTTGACTTTGTACTTTTTTCTTGAGGCTGTAACTGGGACTTATCCTTCTTGGTCTAGGTTAAAGCCTCAACTCCCTGAGGAATCTTTCACTGCCCCTCAAACTATCTCCTTGCCTCCCTCTCTCTGCTCCCATGGTGACCTGAAGGCCACCCCACTGGCACACTTCGCACATGCATCTCAGTCTGCCTCCCCAGCCCTGCAAAGTTCCTCGACAAGGAGGAGGACTCTTGTTTTGCAGCCCAGTACCTAGAAGGGTCCTGCCACAGAAAAGTACAACTTCTTCAACTGCTATGTGAATTAATCCTATTTTTTCATCACAGCCAGTGTACTAACAGTCAAAAATCATGTATCTTCTCTGTGCTTCATTTTCTCCATTTATAAAACTGTCTGTCATATTTAATGATATTACTATTATCATAAGATTATATTAATAATACAAGATGGAAAATGTGAAAACAAAGTGGCCTCTCCAGAAGAAAGATGATATGTAAGGATGCAGTGAGTTTCTATTATTTAGCTTGGTAAAAGTTTCTGACTTAAAGTTACTATAAACATACAAAGCTTGCCAATTTCACAGACTAGAATTTTAAAAATACTTTACATCAGAAACAATGCAATCTTCATTTTAAGATACAAAAGCTCCCCACATTTCTTTCTGATATAAATAGAAGAATCCAAATTTGGATGTCACACTTCTGAACGACCATTTAGTGCAAGACATGTGCTTATGGCTCACAGGGCAAAAAAAAAAAATTTTTTTTAAATAGTTGTTTGAATGATAAAAACTGGTCAACTTTGTCAGACTCTAAGGTACTGAACATTCCACTTTGTGGATGATAAGCCTGAAATACTCAATTTTAAACTTATTAGGAAAATCCAACAGCCAAAAATTCTTGTTTTCAAATGAGGAAATATGAAATTTCCTCTTTAATTGCATAAAATACACAAAGTATAAAATTTACCATTTTAACCATTCTGATGTAGTTAGTTCAGTGGCATTAAGTCTATTTATACTGTTGTGCAACTGTCACCACCATCCATCTCCAGAATTTTTCAACTTCTCAAACGTAAACTCTGTACCCATTAAATAGTAAGAGTCCATTCCTCCTCCTTTAATTCATGGCAACCACCATTTTAGCTCTGTCTACAGAGTTGACTGTTTTGGTGCTTCTTTATTTTATTTATTTATTTTTTTGGTGCTTCTTTAAGTGAAATTATGCAACACTTGTCCTTTTGTGTCTGACTTATACTCACTTTGGATGTCTTAAAAGTTCCTGCATGTTGTAGCATGTGTCAGAAGTTCCTTCCTTTTCAAAGCTGCATAGTATTCCATCATCTGTCTATGTCACATTTTGTTCATCAAGTCATCATTCTATGGACGTGTGGGTTGTTTCTACCTTTTGGTTGTTGTGAATAATGCAGCTATGGATATGCATGTGTGCTCAGACGCTCAGTCATGTCTGACTCTTTGCGAGCCCATGGACTGTAGCCCACCAGGCTCTTCCGTCCATGGGATTTTCCAGGCAAAAATACTGGAGTGGGTTGCCATTACCTACTCCAGGGGATCTTCCCACATCTATGGACATTGGTGTATAAATATCTGTTTGAGTACTTCCTTTCAAATTTTTTGGTTATATGCACAGAAGAGGGCTTCTCCGGTGACTTGCCAGTAAAGAATCCACCTTCAGTGCAAGAGAGGTGAATTTGAGCCCTGAGTCAGCAAGATCCCCTGCAGGAGGCACGGCAACCCACTCCAGTATTCTTGCCTGGACAATCCCATGGAAAGAGGAGCCTGGCAGGCTACAGTCCATAGGGTTGCAAAGAGTCAGACACAACTGAAGTGACCAAGCACACGTACACGGAAGTAGAACTGCAGAATCATACGGTAATCTTATGTTTAATTTTCTGAGAAACTACAACGTTGCTTCCAAAGTATGAAATCTCACTCTAAATAGGAGAAGATTTATTTTATGGAAAAACTTTTTCACAGCCTGGATTTCTAGTGTACTGCCACTGGAGGCCATTCTTGCTTGAAGAGTCTGCCACTGTGGGTGACTGAAGCACATTAAAAAGATATGCCAACTATTAACACATTCTGAGGAGCAGAACAAAACTATCTCAGGAATGAGTCCTAGTATTTGTTCATATCACTGTTCATTAATTTATCATGAAACTGATTATTATTTTAATCTCATCATTTGCATTAAAGACTTCTGCCTACATTGACAACCTAACCATTGTTCTAGAGCAGCAGTCCCCAACTTTTTTGGCACCAGGGACCAGTTTCAAAGAAGACAGTTTTTCTGTGAATTGAAGTGGGGGATGGTTTTGGTTTCACCTGCTGCTCACCTCCTGCTGTGTGGCCTGGTTCCTAATGGGCCATGGCCCTGTGTGGAGGGGAGACCTATGTTCTATGGTATAAGGATGGCAGGTAATGTATAGTTCATGGAACCCAAGAATGCCATGAAAGAGTTGCCCAAACAAGGTAGCAAGTCCAGCCTACAGCCCAGATTCAAAAGTCTATCAAATGTTATGTTATTAAGATTCACAGTCTATCTATCAAATGTGATGTTATATTTTAATTCATACCTAATAATGTGTTATGTTGATATATTATATATTATATTTAATTTAATATTAAATACTTTAAATTTTTATCAATCAACTCATGACTTGGCTCTTATTTTACTCCTACGTATCTTGGGCACACTGTGCAATACAGTGAACTCTATAAATGTTTGTGGATAAAAGAGTCAAATCTCATTTGGATATGGGCTTCAAATGGGTGTATTAGTTTCTGCTTTACATTACACCAGAATTATCCACTACTAATGAACCTACCAACAAACAGAAATCTACCAAATAGTTACTAGCCTGCACTATGTGAATAAAAGTAGGTGTTTTTACACAGGGCCACTTGTCATCTTTAAAGTGTTCACATTTGCATTCCCAACAAAAGCCTCTTCATAAAATGACAGAATTTTCACACATTCGTTGACTAAACATAACTGAGGGAGAGTTCTAAGTAGAGCACGAGACGTAGAGCCAGAAATTCTAATTCACATCTCCACTTAAAAACGGAAGAAAGCATTTGGAAGGAAATTTGAGAGACTACTTATTCCAAGCTCATTAACTTAAAAGCAAACACAAACTGTCCCTGTGGGATGAAATGTAATTTAAATTTTTAATTTTGAAGAATGTACAGAGGAGAAAATCTCCATGCCCTCTTCTAGGAAAGCATTATAGTGACCCTGACTGATAGGAAACCCTATTATAAATACCTCGCTGTCTAATGATGTTCTCAGCTCACTCCCTCTGATCACAGTCCCAGTGGAAATGGAGCAGAGATGCTCACCTCTCTTTTCTGTTAATCCTCCAAGTACTCGGGCTGAAGATGGATATTAAGCCTCCAGCATGAAGCTTAGCACTGTATAGTGCCCTTCCTAAAATGATTCTGCTAGTGAGCTGGACAGAATCAGGTCACCTTTGGAAATGCGCTTTCTCAGTGCTTGAGACTATCTGAGGAATTATTTTATATTTTATATCTTGTTCTTTAATATACTGAATAGTGAATCCATGTATTTGATCTTCTTCCCTAATTATTTTGGTAAAAACTAATCTTGTTTTTTTGTTTTTGTTTGTTTTTTTTAATCTTTTCTTTTTGGCCATGCATCATGGCATGTAGGATCTTAGTTCCCTGACTAGGGATCAAACCCACAGCCCCTGTTATGGAAGGGCAGAGTCTTAACCACTGGACTGCCATGGAAGCCCAGGTAAAAACTAATCTTAATTATAATGTCTTGTCCACATTTTTATCTTTGGTGCTTTGTACATTGCCTGGCACATAGAAGGCAAGCAAAAAATATACGGTTGAATGACTGTTCTGTTCCAAAGACTGGAATTGATGCTGATGTTAGCAAACACTAATAATTAAAAGACACCTGCTCTGGGCTGGAAGTATTCAGGACACCAAAAGCATTCATTTCAATATATCCTTTTTCATATCATTTGCTAAAATATCGAAAAAAAAATTTGTACATTAATATTTATTTATCTCCCCTTGACTTTCCTCTGAATGATAGTACTCAAAATAATATAAACAAACACAAAAGGACCTGCAAAAGAAGTAGAAGCAAGTGTTTGGAAACTTATGAAATCCCATAGTCATGTATGGACGCGAGAAAGAAGGCTGAGCACCAAAGAATTGATGCTTTCAAATTGTGGTGCCAGAGAAGACTCTTGAGAGACCCTTGGACAGCAAGGAGATCAAATCAGTCAACACTAAAAGAAATCAACTCTGAGTATTCATTGGAAGGACTGATGCTGAAGCTGAAGCTCCAGTACTCTGGCCACCTGATGCAAAGAGCTGACTCACTGGAAAAGACCCTGATTCTGGAAAAGATTGAGGGTAGGAGGAGAAGCGGGCAACAGAGGAAGAGACAGTTGGATGGCATCACCGACTCAATGGACATGAGTGTGACCAATCTCTGGGAGATAGTGAAGGACAGGGAAGCCGGTGTGCTGCAGTCCATGGGGTCACAAGGTGTCGGACACGACTGACTGAACAGCAACAGAGGAATGAATCTGATGTGCGGCTCTGGGTTTGCATCCTGTCACTTCCTACCTGGGTGATCGTACGCAATCTCTCTTATCTCTTTTGGCATCAGTTTTTTCATCTATTACACAGAAATATTTCAGGAGAAACTGATGTGAATTAAATAACTGGCAGTTCCTGACAAATCAAATAAGTATTCAATAGATGAAGGTCAATAAATAATTAAAGTTGATACTTGAGTCTCTTGATCCAAATCAACTTAATTAATGTACTATTTTTTTTTAAGTATAACATGACAAAGATTTTCTTTTTGAAAGGGGAAATAGTAAATTAAACAAAGAGTGAATTTGGATTTTATTCTTAGAAGAGACTGGATTTAAGAGCTCCAAGGCTTTCCCAGACAGAATCGGCAATAACATCTACTACACTCTGTCAGTCTTCTTCTCACACTCAAGGGACAGGAGAGCTTACGTGTCTTATTGATCGTTAAGCAGAAAATTTATAGGACTTTGTGAGTGATTAGATCTGGAAAGCAGAGGAGAATGAGCACCCTAGGATGAATTCTGGCTTGGGAAACTGGATGATAACATGCCTATGTCATACCAGATTTTGTACTGGTTGCTGCAGATAAGAAGTAAATAAGACACAGTGGTTAGTTCTGTCCCATGTTGTTCGTGTTTAGTTGCTAAGTCATGTCCGACTATTGTGACCCCATGGACTGTAGTCTGCCTGGCTCCTCTAAACATGGGATTGTCCAAGCAAGAATACTGGAGTAGGTTGCCATTTTCTACTCCAAGGGGTTGTCCCAACCCTGGGCTCAAACTTGCATCTCCTGTATTGGCATGTGTCCATGCTAAGTCACTTCAGTAGTGTCCGACTCTTTGTGACCCTATGGACTGTAGCCCACCAGGCTCCTCTGTCCACGGGATTCTCCAGACAAGAATACTGGAGTGGGTTGCCATGCCCTTTTCCAGGGGATCTTCCTGGAAGGTGACTCTTACTGAGTCACCAGGGAAGCCCAGTTCTGCCTCATTCAGTTCAGTTGCTCAGTTGTGTCCGACTCTTTGCGACCTCATGAATCGCAGCACTCCAGGCCTCCCTGTCCATCACCAACTCCCGGAGTTTACTCAAACTCATGCCCCTAGAGTCGGTGATGCCATCCAGCCATCTCATCCTCTGTCGTCCCCTTCTCCTCCTGCCCCCAATCCCTCCCAGCATCAGGGTCTTTTCTAATGAGTCAGTGCATGAGGTGGCCAAAGTACTGAAGTTTCAGCTTTAGCACCAGTCCTTCCAATGAACACCCAGGACTGATCTCCATTAGGATGGACTGGTTGGTTCTGCCTCATAATTGGGGGAAAAAAAGCACTGTCAGAGTATATGTAACAGCCAATCTTGTCTGGATGAATATCAAAAGGCTTCAGAGAGGAGATAACACTTAAACTGGGTTGGGGATTGAGAAAGCAAGAAAGATAGTCACTCTAAGGTTGGAGGAAAAGGAGTTGGAAAAGAGTTCTTTTCTGATCCTCTTTATTTTCTTGGAGACGGAGAATGCTATGAAGATGAACTTGTGGAAATGAAGATGGTTTTCAGGAGTGGGTGGAGAAATCTGGACACGAGTGGTAAAGACCTAAAATAATCACTGTAAGGAAAGAGGAGGAAACTGTTCAGGAAAAAGAAAAAGGACCGCTGAGTAGTGATGAAGCAGACTCTTAAATGTCCTTGAAGCCACAGGTCTGAAGTCTATCTGTCAGTAGGACCACTGTCTCCAGTAGCCCCTGGCATTCCTGGGTCAGGGCTATGAAAAATCAAGATTCATGCACCCCAATGTTCACAGCAGCACTATTTACAATAGCCAAGACAGGGGAACAACCTAAATGTCCATCCACAGACGAATGAATAAAGAAGATGTGGTAAACATACATTTATATATATGAGGGAATATCACTCAGTCACAAAAAGAATGAAATAATGCCATTTGCAGCAACGTGGATGGACCTAGAGATTATCAGGCTAAGTCAGATAAAGTCAAATATCCTATGACATCACTTATATATGGAATCTAAAAAAATGAAACTAATGAACTTATTTATAAAACAGAAATAGACTCATAGGCATAGAAAACAAACCTACGATTACCAACAGGAACAGCAGGGGGAGGGAGGGATAAATTACGAGTTTGGGATTAACAGACAGACACTACCATATATAAAAGAGATAAACAACAAGGACCCATTTATACAGCACAGGGAATTATATTCAATATCTTTCAACGTTTAAGGGAAAAAAATCTGAGAAACAATGTATACACACACACACACACACACACACACGTATGAATCACTTTGCAGTACTCCTGAAACTAACATTGGAAATCAGCTGTAATTCAATTAGAAAAATAAATCGATGATTGGATTACAGGTGTGCTTACCTAACATTCACTAGACTACATTATAAAAGAAACCAAAGTAAGTTCCTTCCTTGCCAGTAGAGTTAGTGATCTTGAGTTCCCAGCTACAGAGTAACATGGACAGGATATGGGGTTTTTGCTCCGACTCACCATTTTGCATTTTCTCTGCTAACACTTATGCCAGTGCCTGAGTGGAAAGTGGTTCTGTCTGTCGCCTCTTCAGTCCAGAGAAGCTGACCTGGATCTAAGGCAGGGAGGTCGGCTCCATTGCTGATCAGGACGACAGGGGTGTCCGAAGCAACAGTGCTCTGCTCCTCCAGGGGGAGAGAAGGGGCGGGGGTGGGAGGCGCTGGAGTCACCGGGGCCGGAGGAACTGCGGACTTGGGTTTGCCTGTGGTCTGCTCCTCGGCCCCAGGGACAGTCTGCTCGGGTGTGAGACTCTCCACCCTGGTCTCCGAAGGCTCCCCTTTAAGGTCAGATGTGCCAGAAGTGGTTGCCTCTGAGGACAGTCGAGACGGTGGCTGCTTGCCAGTTTTTTTCTTGCCCTTTGTGATTCCCACTGTCCCCATTTTGCTAGAAACTGTCTCCTTGGAGGCTTTGAGACGAGATGAGGTGGAGGAAGTAGATGGTGAAGCTGATGCTTTGGAGCCAGTTGTTTTTCTTGAATGAGAGGAACCAGCTGAAGCAGAGAGATTTCGCATTAAGAGTCCAAGAAGAGAACACATTTTAAACACAAATAACCCAGTTGCAATTGCCAATGACACTGTTCCCTTTAAACACTAAAACTTTGAATAAATGCATTAAGGAAAATAGGTAAATGACAACAATGGTCTTGTTTTCTGCCACCTTCCTGCCCCCAACCTAGAAGGGAGCAAGGGATGCTTGAGGCCAAACCCCAAGGTACAAGGTCTTCTCCCTCCTCCAGTCTTTACCTGAGCCAGCCAAAGGGGATGCCTCACCTCTCTGCCCTCTGGTCACCTGGAAAAGTCTCCGTATGCTCCAAAGAAGGGACATTATAGTGTGGAGAGGTACCAGCTACCTGGGTGTAGTACAAGCTTACTCTCATCACAGACGATACATGTTCTATGATGCCTTTCTGGGAACACAGTAGCCCACACTCAGAAGAGGCTGGTGTATATACCACCTGCTCCTTTCCGGCCAAAAGCAAATTTACTCATCTTACTGCTAAAAGAGCAAACTCCAAACCAGCTCTCCCCAGTGCCTAGAGAGAGACGCTTGCCACGCTGCCCTATCTCTTCATCTGCAGGGGTGATGGGGCAAAGGAAAAAAAAACACACGGCCGCATAGGAAAGACAAGTCCCCTAAAACATCGAGGCAGAAAACAGTCTTTTGTTTTTTTTTAACCAAAAATGTGTAAATGTGTAGTGTTTGAATAAACTGAAGGGAAGGAGTATCATTCTCAGATCTTCTGAAACTACTTATGTTCCTAGAAGAATATCTTTATCAGAGGATAGGCAGGGTCATGCCCATGGCTGTGGCATGTTGGTCTACTTCTGGATAGTACTGCCTTCAACCAAACCATTTTCAGGGAAAATAAAATTTAACCCTCTTTTTCTTTATATCACAGAAATACATTTAAACTATTGTTTCATGACCTTTATGATCTATGCATTTCCCTTAATTGCTTCTTCTGTGACAAGGCTGTACACTCCCTCTTCTTCCTGAGGGATCAAACTATCTTACACAGAAAAATTAGAAAAATCTTGTTAGATTGTGGAGCCAACCCACACTGCATACAGATGTTATTTGTTGTAACTTAGCTCTGGTTATAACTTTATTGAAGCCAACTGGAAGGGTCAGGAGAAGAACAAATAAAGGAATAGACAATGAGATGTGACTTTACCAACTCTGGTCTACCGAGAAAAGCTAGTCATACTATGTGTAAAGATGCAGGCTTGAAACAAGTCTCTGTGCCTTGAGGACTTTATTGTTTTAGATACCTGTAATTACAAGAATTCTCCTCCCCCATGTCAGGGCTTGTCAATATTTCTTTGAAATAAACAATCTTCATTTACTTATTGGACAAACATATGAAGCACACTCCTGGAGTCTAAGTACATTTGAACTTTATCTTTCACAACCAAGATGCTAAAGACTTGCTGTCTGTCTGAACATGTTCAGTTAGGTCTTAGGTAGGCAGAACAGAATTTCTTCTACACATCAGTTCTACTTATTTTTTCTTTTAAAAAATTCTTTCTTTTCTAACAGCAAAGTTAACTTCAGGCTTGCTTAAGAAAAAAGACAATTTTTAAGCCTAGTGTGCAAATTCACGCCATGTTAATATATTTCTCTTTTGACCGTCTCCTAAAATGAGGATTTTGCTGAAGTGTTGCTCAAGTTACACTGAATTATGGCCGTGATTAAAAATGAAATGCTACCTCTTCTCAGTTAAATATTTCTGTTGTTAACACAGTGTATAACAATGAGAAAGAAAAACATATGAGATGTTACTTTACTAGCAAAGCAGGTGAATGTGCTAACCGGCATCTGGGGATCTGGAGGACTAACTAACTTAGTAACACAGGAAGAATCTGAACCAACAGAGTTTTTGAAACAGCGTAAAACGTCTGACTAAAAATCGGGAGTTAATTTGAAAAAACTTTCCCGAAATGTCAACATTATTCAAATAAAGCAAAGTTACCAAGCAGAAAGTTCCAGATGGTTACAAATGGAATATGAGTAGGATTCAGGAGCATGACCAACATTCGATAAAAGGATCTTCACATTGGTAGACTTCAAGGCAATCTTGTTTCTCTGTGATAACCCTGAGACAGCAAGCTTCTTGTTCACACTGAGGGCCAGTCGGGCCTCTTTTAATACAGTGGATAACATGACTGTACTTTGCTCTTAGGAACATCCAGAGTTAACAAATTAGTCTTCAAATAAAATACCTGGAAATAACTCAAAATCTCTCCTGAAGTAAGAGAGAGGACAAGCCAAGTCTATCATGAGCTGCTGCTATGCGGGGCGTGGGGAGGTGGGTCTTCACGCCCAGGAACGGGCTGAGTCTGGGGCTTCTCTTCAGGAAATAAATCAGCAACAGCCTCACTTGAAGCATTTGTCCTGGGGCGTGCTAGGCAGGCTGGGTGACACACAGCGATGCCAACAGGAGCGGACGCTGATGGGTGATGGCAGCTGGTCCCTGAGAAAATGGCCTGTAGGCCCTGCAGGCTCAGCATTCTGAGACGTTCCTTTCAGAGCTTATTGGAAGAGACCCAGACAAGCAAGGTCAAAGGGCGATAACAGGAACTCTGGGAGAGAGGAACCTATTTACAATGCGTTCTGTTATACTGTCACCTAAACCATTCTCTGAACCTGAGCATCATGGGTATAAACTACCAAGGGGAAAGATCAACACCAAGGCATATCGTGGTAGCTGATTTTGAGAAAGTGGCTGCTGATTTTAAGGCGAATAGGGTTTGCTAGGCACAGCAGACCTTCTAACACGGAGAATTTTTAGGCATGTGATGGGAAAAAGCCGCTCAGCATATATATTTGGATTAATATCCTTTTAAAAGCTGGATGACAGGGGAGGCTAACTCATTCCACTTCACTGAATGGAATGGCAACTCCACTTTGCATTAAGCACATCTGACGTGGAAGGAAAAGCTGGACACACATGACATGAAGTGACGGAATCACCCAAACAGCCCCTGGTGATCTGCAGTGGCAGCTTACAACCGCACCCCTTGTAACACGTTGAAGTTTATGGGGTCAGGAAGCGGACACTGACCATGTAACATCCAACTCTGCCGAGCAGTCGGGACTCCAGTAGAGAGTGGGGGCGGGGTCGAGCAACTAGGTGATGTGAGCCCTGTCTCACTAGAAAGATGGCTCTAAGATTTAAGACATTAAGATCCAGCAAATATGTCAAAGAGGTGTCATGTTTTAATGTGCAAACTTAAGATGTTTTAAAAGAAAAAACCCAAGCCAAAGAGCCACCCATAAACTCAAACAGGCAGGCCAGTCGATATTTGCATAATGTCAGACCGTGCATGCTAAGTCGCTTCAGTCAGGTCCAACTCTTTGTTGACCCTGTGGAGCCTGCCAAGCTCCCGTCCATGGGATTCTCCAGACAAGAATACTGGAGTGGGTTGCCACGCCCTCCTTGAGGGGATCTTTCCGACCTAGGGATCAAACTCGCCTCTCTTATGTCTCCGGCACTGGCAGGTGGGTCCTTTGCTACTAGAGCCACCCTGAGAAGCCACTAATGTCAGATCATATCATCGCTACTCATCAGGCAGACAACTCCCTGTATCCTTCTACTGGGTTTTGTGCAGACAGTGGAGACTCAGGAAGAAAGACATCTATTCACCCTAAACCTAATGAGGTGAACAGATCCACCTGGTAGAGACAGCAACAAAGGACTCTCCAGGGCATTCTCTGTGTTACAACTGAATCTGCCGGTGTTACATCCAAAGACGCCAGACACCAAAAAGACTATTATTCCTAGAAGCAGCAGTGAACCCCCCCCAGAGCCAAGCACCCTAGACTCAGCCCCACGGAGGGCATACTCACCGGCCTCTCGGGTTGCATTTCGGCTTGCTGGCTTGGGTGGTGGGACGGGGACCTGCTTACCAGGAGCCTTGGTGTTTTTTTTAATAGGAGGCACTTCGTCACCCTTGGGGCTGGCCCCAGCAGCGGCCCCTTTTGGAGGCACAGGTGTTTTTTTGGGCTTAGGTTTGGGTTTAGGCTTAGGAAGAGCTGCAGGAGGTGGAGCAGGAGTTGCCGGTGTTTCAGAGTGGTTTTCAGTGATCTCTACAAATGAGAAAGTGAACAAAAGCAGACTGATACAGACACACACCGTACAGATAGAAGGAGCAAGACGCAGGGTGACAGCAATACAAACATGTGGCTGCTTAGCCCCCGGGAACCAGGGGGGCTTCTGCACCAGAGAGACTGAAGGTTGGGGTAAAGGAGATCAGAGTCTGAAAACCAAACCGGAGTGTGTTCTCCAGGCCCCTTATCACTCCTGTGGTAAAACAGAGTTGCACAAGTGACTGTGATGAGGTTCAGGGTGAGTGTAAAGGTCCACCATCAGGGGCTGACTCCTGGATGGGGGGTCGCTCGACGATGATGTGGGTATGATTGCTAAACTTTTAACCAAACTGAAGGGCCTGAGGAGTGGCAGATCCGTGCATTACACACACCACCACGGGGTGAGGGCTGACTGCACGGCAACGGCTGGACGCAAGGGGACCCTCCACTGAGGGGCTTTCCAGAAGAACGATCCCCATCAACTTGAAAGGGATGTGTGCCCTCTATCTGTCTCACTGTGGTCAAAAAAATCAATTATTTTCTAAGTGAAGGGAGACTCTCTAGAATCTCGTACAGGAAGCACAACGCACTGCAGAATAAACCATTTTCTGCTACTAAAATTTTCTCAAGCTCTCCCAGTGCACTAGGGAAGCTTCCTGTTTTACCCTAACTTTCTCTGACCTTTTCAAACAGTGTCACAGCTGGTGGTAGTGGAGGGTGCAGAATCCAAAAGAAAAAGAAACCACCAAACTTGTTCTGTCATGTAAACACAAGTGACAAGTTTGAAAAGATAAAGGTTAAAATTCATTAAAAAAAAAAAAATCACACCTACAAACAGAAGCCTCGTGTAAGATTTTGTATAACTAGAGGAGTATTAGTCTGACATTTTAAAACGTGGAGATGCTGAATGTTCATTCATATTTTCATATACTTATCTTTTCTCATCATGACTAATTAAAATTAAAGTGCAGCTTGGGTCCAAAGAGCTAAGCAGCATTTCTTTGAAAGTGGAGCACAACAGAAAACGTAAGACAGTGTTAAGACAAGACTAAGCCTTTACTGAAGATGTTGTTCTGTTATTAAATGACCAAGAGAGGATTTTAACATTGGAATGCATCTTATTTTATTCTCTCTTTCGTTTCATTTCTCACCCCAGTGCGTGTGAAGTGGGGACTCCTCCCCTCTTTTCTACATCCCCATCAATCCATGTATAACTACCGTACAAGTGATTTAAATTGCAGTTTAAGTAATGGATAAAACTTTTTTTTTTCTTTTATTTTTATTAGTTGGAGCCCAACCATTTCACAACATTGCAGTGGGTTTTGTCATACATTGACATGAATCAGCCTGGATAAAACTTTTCTTTTACCTTTCCTCAGCCATGAAACCCACCCGTCACAACGGCCCACACGGAGCCCTCCTGCATCTGAACTTAACTGTACACACAGTCTGAGCTCCTCAGTCAACATTTATCAGAGGCTCCTTTGTCTCTGTGCCTTTCTGTTTATACATCTTGACTCCTCAGCTAAGCTGCTGAGAGTCTTTAATACGGAATGGCTCTCCTAACCCACCTGGTCTGAACCCGAAAACCAGTGCACCACCAAGTGTTAGTCAGGGCTGAGAAAGGGATGAGGTGACAGTCACTGAAAACATCTTATTTTAATGTAAAACTTACAAATACACATTGCTAGTCTTTTGATTCAGGGTAGAGGACTGTTCTCTCAATACATCTTTGTAGCTTTAGCCTCCTGCTTAATACTATGCATGGAGATCCAGCCTTATAAGAGCACCGTCCAGGCTGAGAACCAAAACCATTGATCTGCACATTTGGTACCTTAATTATCTCTTGCTCTAACCCTCACATCTCTTATTCTCTGCCTTTATGCCATATTTCTGGGGGGGTCTTTTTTAGATCTGCCTAAAGGCTTTTAAATTCTAAAGTTATCCAGCAACTGGGTTTGGGAAGGAGATGGTTCACTCTAGGACAGTTGGGAATGACAATCCCTCCTGGATTAAGAATGTACTCACTACACAAAACTTCTGGCCACTCTTGGAGAAGCACAGTCCATCCTCCTTCTTCTGTAAGTTCTATCAATTATCTGCGTGTGTTTGCCATATGGCCAATGTTTATATTTATTCTGTGGTGACTCCTAACGTGTGCCTGTGTGTGTGTGTGTGTGTATGCATGCACACACATGCAAACAGTAGGCTTTTCTGACTAAATTATGACCTCCTTTTGTCTGAAATTTTATAGCCCGTCAAGCATGATGCTTGAAACATTATGTCTATTCAGTGAATGTGACTGATCAGCTGATAGATATTAACACACACATCAGTAGGGAGCAAACTCTTGTATCTGGGAGACAATGAACCTAAGTCAAGAGGTATTTTTTACTATTACCATATGATCTGAAGCAAAGACAGATGGCAGAGAGCAGTATAATGTTTTCAAGAGGAGGTTAAGAAAGGGCTGCCTATGCACTCTGACTTGATGAGGATACTACCTGTCACAACAGTGGTCTGGAGGCGAGTGGCTGACCACTACACTTCAGGTTGGCCTCCTTCCACCATGTGGAGACTCAAGTTTAACAACACTGAGAACTGCAGGCAGCCTTCCTCTTGCCTAGAATGCCCTTCTGCCCCCAACTCCCTCCTTCACCTGACTGCTTCCTTCTGGTCTCCTCCAGGTCAGAGTTTGGAAATATCTTCCTCTAAGATCCAATTTGATACCCCTTGCAAGTTCCCTGGCTTGCTGTCCTCAGGCCTCCTAGAGCACTTTGCATCTTTCACTGCAGTGGCCTGTATGCATACTGGTCTCCACGGAGGCCACGATCTGCTTGGAGGCAAGGTCGTCGCTCACGTTCAGTATGCTCCTTCCCTGGCCCCTGTGGCCAATATCTTCATGCTCACGTGGGGAACAAATAAAGCCCTCTACAATGACTCAATAGAAATAATATCCGATACTTTTTCAGATTTCTCATATTGAATACCACGCTATATTTAACAGATTGCAGATCAGTTTTTCTGCCTCTTATATATTTATTGAGAAGGAATAATGAGAGACTAAGAGGCCCAGAAGGCTTACGGGAAAAGTCTCCAGTGATAGGCAGAAAAGGCCCCACTGCCCCAGCTCCGGAATCAGACCCTTGGGAGCCTCTTTGGAGCCCCAGAAATACCATGAGTCCTAGGTAGAACCTACCCACAGAGCAGGGTGAAGGCCATTTGCCATTTGCTTGCTCTCTTTGATGCAGATGTTTCAAATATTCAAGTGCCAATATGCTGTCTTAAAAAGATATACAAGCATCCAGGCGGCATTAGTTTTGCAAATATAACCAATTAACAGGTGAAATGAAGTTCATGGGTAAGCTGACTTAATGCAGAAGGAAGGGGAACACTGAACCCCCAAATAAAGGATAAGCTGAGAACATGGGAAGGTGGATTTGCACAGCAGTAAGCTCACCTAAGTGAGATCAGAAGAGGAACAGAGCTAAGAGTGACTCTTAAGCTATTTTAATTTTTTTAGAATTAAACGCTGTCTTTCCAGAGCAATGAATGGTTTGTTTAAAAGGTATTTTCTATTTAACACGACATACTCTGTGATGTTGGTTAGGACTGACATTCTTTTTAGTGTCAGCAAGTGGCTTCCCCTCACTCAGCGTGGCTTCAGTGGGGACACTGTCCATATAGTGAAAGGGAGACTCCTCTGTCTTACTAGGGCTGTGGTAGCAAGATCAGCATTTTCATCTTCTCATGTACAGACCAGCCAAAGCACGATGCTATCTCGGACCTTATCTGACCAACAAGAACAGAAGGTACTAATCCAAGATAAAAAATAAGAAAACAAAAACCTCTCTCAAATATCCATGAACCTATGAAGTCTGCCATCTTCTTGGAATGCCCAGGCCTGAGGGTTTAATTAACATAAAGCTGTCAGCAACTTTTTATTATGCTGATAAAGGAAACACGTCTTTTGAAGCCTGTCCAGTCCACTGACTGATACTCCACATGGACAAGGCAAGCACTAGAGATGGTTCTATTACACAATGAAGGATGTGATCCTTGAAAGTGAAAAGGCTGGACCAGGGAAAAACCACAGATGGATTTGAAATTTAACAGTGTGGTGAGACAGGACAGTTGGACTGAAAAAAAAAAAGAAATCACTGCAATAATGCTTTCACCTAAATACTCTCAAAATCTATTCAGGTCTGTTTTCTTTTTATTATCCAGGAATCATATCAATACTTAATACTGAATAAAGCAAAATAATTTTCAACAGGTAATTAATAGAGGCTTCTAAAAATTTGAAAGGCTAATATACATGTAAATAATAAGGCATTATAGACTTTCCGAGGAGATGATCTTAAGTTATAACATCTGACAAATGTTCTTTCATTCCCTTTGTCTTTGGAGGATTTGGGTCAAGAACAAAGGAAGAGAAGTTTCCTTCCAGCAGTTTCTAAGAGTCTTCAAAATGCCTAGAAAGTTCAGATTAGGTCTGACAAATTTTTGCCATCCAACTCAGAAGGAGACATTATGGAAAACTAGCCTACTTCCTGACAATTCATTTATATGTGGCAGGAAATCATCTAGACTGTTCCAACAAAGGCTTATTTTATGGGCATTTCAGTTCAGGCTTGCATAAGAGGTTTGGGGGTTCCTGCAACTGTGATAGGTGGATATGGATAATGCAGTCTATCAGTGCCCAGGAACTTGTGAATGTTCTGGGGGTCCCCGACAGACACGTATTTTGCAGTTCTGTAATTTACCACAGTATTTCACATCAGAAACCAAGGTATCTCAAAAGAAAGCTTCTGCGAATGGCATAATTGCCTCTGGCATATTTTAAAACTTCCAACTGCACAGATAAATCATCGGGCAGAGGCTGTGGCCACGCCAGCAACCCAGATCCCCGGCATCACTGGGAACCATTCCTGGTCTCCCAGAAATGTCTGAGCCTGGACCAGAACTACAGTGCTGGGTGTGTGGACGCTACCAGCCAAGCTTCCACTTCTGAAGAGGTGGTGCTGGGCTGAGTGAGCCATCCTATTTTGTTCTTCCTCCAAGCTGAGCTGCTATAACTGTCACCCGCAGAGAAAGATGTTCAGATTGCTGCTTTTTTTTTTTAAAAGAAGATACTGAGAAAAAACTCCTGATGAAAGGATACCACTCCCAGACATCTCTAATGATAGAAGAAGCCATGACTTCTGATTCTTACCATTAATTAGCCCTCTTTAATAAAGCATTAAATGATGTGCTTATAAAATGGATGTATCTATCTGAGGAAACCATCCCATTTCTCTTTGCTAGTTATCATTTCCCTCCTCGTATTTACAGAACTCCTCTCTACTGGTCTCAGGGTCACTATGTGTGGAACCCAAGACCTGCTTCTCATTTTTGAGCTGTAAAAGAATTGTGGGGTTTCTCTTGATTTTACCTTTCTTATCTTCTGCCTTTTCCTCCAGAGCTGGTGCTTTTTCAGCTACAGAGCCATTACCTTCTTCAGATCTTACTACATTTTCCTCTCGGGTAGATTCCTCTCCGGTGGGTATCATGTGCCCGTTTGAATTTTCAAAGTTAACTGTTACATCTCCATCTAAAAATGGGGAGAGAAACACCTAGATGTCTAACTTTGACGGCTTTCTTAAGACCCAGTTTTCCAGGTACTAGGACTGTAGGGTTCAGATTTACGTTTCAGACCTGGGAACCAAATACGTTCTGGACTATTTTCACAATGTTTTACTGAATAATTCATTGAAATGAAAGAGCTAGGAAGTTCTTAGTGTTGGGGGAAAGCAGCTATGGAGGGGGTACCCAGATGCCATCTCAAGACAGGAATGATTAATCTAATTATAAAATATCCCTTGGGAAGAAGAGTCCCTCTCTTCTTGGGTTTAGTTTTGGTTGAAGTCACACTTGGGAGTCTCTTTGTCATTCAGAAACTGAATGATAAAAGGAGGAATCTGAAAAATGGAATAAACATTTTTACCAAGCACCAAAAACACAAGGTGAATGCAAATATACAAATAACATGAAAAGCAATTACACATACAAACGATTAGTGGGAGACATGAACATTTCCAAGCACCACTGTCTCCAGAATATTATATCCATGACACGCTAACTTTACACAGTAATATACCCTCTAGTCTACTCAGGGAAAGATGTCAGTAAGGCTAACTGTATTTTCATTTTGTTATTTATGGAAATATTAAAATGTATTCAGGGAGTTGTTGTATATTGCTGGCCAAAAGTCTTTAAGTTGGGGCAATAATAATTTGAAAACATTATGAAAAAATGTTAAGAAAAGAGCAATTTGAGGGAATTTTTTAAAAATCACAACTGAAATTAAAATTTAATGTTATCTAAACCATAAATAATTAATTTAACACCCATGAATGTTTATAAATTCCTAGGAGTTTCTAAAGTAAGAGATTTTGCAGAAACTCTTAATTCAGTGATGCTTGAAAATTTAACACTAGTTCATATCAGGAAAATTTTAAGAAGCTGTGCTATTGGAAAAAAAATTAATGATGATATTTTTACTTAGCAAACTTGAAGAAATGTATAATTAGAGCTAGTTTTAGGCAAGTGTGATTAATTTTACTTTGCAATTATTCTGAACAGAATGACCATCCCCTAATTTTTCTTTAAATATGATTGAATTGCTTTGGCTCAACAATAAAATCCACTGGCCTTTTTGACAGAAACAAATATGGCATTTTAACAAGTAAAATACATATAATGCAATCATATTTTAAATGAACAAAAAATTGTCCCTCAGTTGTGTAACTTCTACATACCTATAATCCGATACTTGTATAAAATTCAAATAGATAATAACTGGCAATGTTATTGCAAGTAAATCTTAACTATGTCAATAAAATTAAGGTAATAATTTTTAAAAGACTACATGACAAACCAAAAAGAAAACAAAAGATCCTTGGTTCTCATTACTGGATCCCAAGAAATTTACTATTAAAAAAAAGAGGGAGGGGAGACACAATATAATGTCCAGGTATTGGATTCAAAAAAATAAATAATCTAAGAATGGAAAATTCCAGACAGAACAGAAAACCATTTCTTTATATAAAAATCCTCAGTTTTCAGGTAACTCAAATACAAATTTATCTTTGTTTTCTATGACTTTCGCTGGTAATAAAAACATGCTGAAATCATGTTAATGACAATTTAATTCTATTTTAACCATTATTACATTAAAAATTCTTTAGGAGATTAAAAAACTAATTTTTTAAATTTAGAACAAAAATGTTAGAGAGAAAATTAAATAATTGTGGCATAAGAAGAAACTGGATTAGCACATGATAAAGAGAAATGGTCGGTAATGTATAAAGATACTTACTTTGAGACATTAATATGAAATAAAGCTAAAGTATAGGCAATAATAGGAAAATGAGCCATGTTTGTAATAAATATGGAATTCAAGAAGAAAAACAGAGGAGAACTAAAGTTATTATTAATTAACTGGTGTGTGTACTGAAAAGGTTTTCTAGTTTTCTGTATTGTTTTAGAATTAAAATAAGTCCTGAGCCAGGCTGCCAGTTACAGTAAGATGCCCACTCCAGGTCTTATAGGAGCATCTGTATGCAAAGAAAGGAGAAAACTCAGAAAAGAGTCCTAAGCTTAAAGTAAACCAAGAGATAAAGCATACAGAAATAAGTGGTTAAATAAGAAGCATGAGAGTGTTTGAGGGGTTTCCCTCTTTCGGGGAAACAGGTTCTTTGGGGATACAGTTAACAGAGGAACAGAGACAAGAAGAAAATCATGAATAGAAGATAAGTGACTGATTCAAAAAGGCATCCCAGGAGAAAAGGAAAGGAGGCTGGTATGCAGACCAAAACATCTGCATGCCTTCAGGTTAAAGCTAAGGGAAAGGAAAGGTAAGAACCAGAAGATGACTAAACTTGGATTACACTATGGACTTCTCCGGAGAGAAGGCCAATCACTGAATTTTTAGATTGAAGTTAGATTTTCGTATAAAAAAAGGTCATCTAAGAGGAATAATAATAGCTGGGAGTAAGGGTATGGGGTGGAATGGGATGAGGTCAAACCCAGGGTAGTTGGCGGTATTTTAAAAGTCTATTTGGCTGACCGAATAAAGGGCATAATTGACAAGCACTGTTAAGAGCTAAGGCAAGGTGAAGAACATCAAGGAAAGAATGAACCTTGACTGGCAGAAGAGAGCAGGTTGTCACCAAGAACAGCAGTTTCCAGTCTCTGGCTCGGGCTGGAAACAGGCCGAAATTCTCAAGATAATTGCTTCTGGAAAAATGACAGAAAACTATTTTCTACAGCCGTTGGCCGAAACGGGGGGAAAGAGTCTATTTACAATAAGCCTCACCGGGAACTTCTAAGTGTTAGGTAATTTATGTAGTTCTATATAAGGGCCACGCAAAAAGGAGAAAGTAAAATTCAGTAATTGATGACTTCCCAAACATTAAACCTATTACACCATGCTTAGATTAAAAGTCTAAGCATGTTTGTTATTTTATGTTTTGAAACTTGTAATGTTCAGTCTGCAAGCATTAAATAAAAAGACTCAACAGAGTCAGACTTCTGGAAAATAAGTAAATGAAATTGCAATCTATCTTGCAAATAGCTTAACAGATTAGGCAAAATAAAAACCAAGCAATACTAAGCATTTCCCTAAGCCACTTGTTTATAGAAAAAGTAAATGCTTTTCTAGCTATAATTTTTAATGGATAAAAAAAGAGACGTTTAGTCTCTATATTCAATATTCATTAACAGTTCTGGCCATAAATTTTTCCACTTCTTTTTCTTCCTTTAAAAAGGTTTCCAAATAAAGGTTACCACACCAGTGCTGTGGCCTATCCTGTAATGGTGATCACCCAACATTTGAGTTTTCAGTGGACATGTAATTTCTCTGCCTTTTCCAGGGAGATAAGAGAGGAGGAAGACTTTGAAACTGCAAGTCCACCTTCAAGCACAAAAACGTTAAGGATGTACATTTTTTATTTCTAAAAGCCCTAGGCAGAAAATGAATAGCTTCAAGGTTAACAGAAAATTAGGGGATACTTAAAAGTTCATTCATAAAATGGAGTGAAAGTGAAAGTCACTCAGTTGTGTCTGACTCTTTGCAACCCCACAGTATAGTCCATGGAATTCTCCAGGCCAGAATACTGGAGTGGGTAGCTGTTCCCTTCTCCAGGGGATCTTCTGAACCCAGGAATCAAACCCAGGTCTCCCATGTTACAGGCGGATTCTTTACTGTCTGAGTCCAAAATAGAGTGAGAGAAGTATAATAAGTAAAAACCTAAAATGTTGAGGGCTCAAGAAAAACGGCATTGTTTAATTCAGGACTTCCCTGTTTTCTTTAAAGGAGGAATAAAATAGTAAAGCATCTCTTAGCTTCTTCTAGAATATTCAGATGTTGAATATCATGTCATTTGGATTTACGAATAGTGAATGCCAAAAGACGTTAAGCTCTTTGCAAGGAACATATTTTAGGAAAAGAGGAGTACTATTGTTTTGATTCTAAATTAACAGCACTTTATTTGTGCCCATAAAACACAATAATAATATTTTATCTCAATAAGCATTCAGGGGATAAGGTGATGAAGGCATGAGGTAAACCAACAACGTTGCAACAAAAATTTCCATGAGTTTTATAGTAGTGGGAAAAATGAAGATTATTCACTATTATTTATTTGGAGAAATAACCTATCTTGGTATCTTCTTTTGAGGGTCTATCTCAGTTTCTATCTAATCCTTGTCTTTTTGAGCAAGATTATCCCTTGGGAAGATAAAGGGGGAAAGGGAAGCAGATTAGATGTAGGGGATGAAATACTTGGAAATAATAATTGTTAGTGAAAAGGTGAGACAGAGTTAGATTCAAAGAAATGAAAAGAGAACAAAGCTGGGAAAATACTTGAGAGATGCATAAAGCAGACTAATGTAATCTGCCCATTCATGCCTTATTGAATGTACATTTGAGTGTATTATAGAGTATAAAGGACAAGAGGTCCGTTTATCATGTCTTTTTTCTTTTACTGGTAGACCTAAGAAACCAAAAGGCATGAGTTAAAACTTTGAACTAAAACTTTGCATTTACTCAAACAATTGAGTTTACTTGTAGAGAGAGACTGAAGCTCAAGAACAGAGCATGAACCATGTATCTTGTCTGCATCTCCTGCCACAGAGAAGCTTTGTTAAGCTTTAGGTTTAGGATGACATATGGTGAGGCACTCACCAAAAAGCTCATTGAATTTCTTCTTTAGAATACCTTAGATACCCTGCAGCCCACAAAAGCTGTCTGAATTAAAGCAAGATTCTCAGATTGTCGTACTTTATCTCCCAAAGACCACGATCATCTTAAATTTCAAAAGAAAATGAAAGAAAGACCAAAGAAGGAAGGATCAAATTACTTTAAACGTATGATTAATTTCCTCACCTTGATCAGGCAATTCCTTAAGAACTCCCCTTCTTATCAGCTCCTCTCTACTTTGTCTTGTGGAAATCTTCCTTTCTAATACTTTTAAAAAGAATAAGCACAAGTAAGAATCTTCATTGCTTAAAATAATTATGAAAAACATTCCAAGTAGAATTGAGTACATCCATTCTGTTCACTTGAGGGCTCAGACCCCAGTTTTTCTAGTTGCCCCGCAAACCACGTGAATGGAATCAACATAATCAGGATGGGCCAATGACCTGAGCCCACGATCTGAAGCCCAGTCACTGAGCTTTCTTCCAAATGATGGTATTTGGCCTAGAATTCAGAAACATTATCTCAAATCAACTATGGGGCACCAAAGCTACTTCTCACTTTGAAATATTCCTTTATTTAGTAATGCATTCTAAAACACAGGCTTTTATGAATGTACAATGAATACAGAGGATATGCATGCTTACATGAAAACAAACTTTCAGTGGACATTCAGGTAACTCAGCTGAATCCCAGACAGGACTACTTTGTTAGTGTTTTCTTTCTCACACCGTCTATTACAGAAGTTCGACATTTGCGTAATTCTTTTCCCTGCCAGACTCACAAGTTCTAGAGTGTTCTGGAGTATTCCCTGACAAATACCAAGTCTTGGGAGGATGGAGTCAATTCATGCTTTCATAGAATGTAATGGGACAGGAAACTCAACCGTGATTCTTCTTCAGGAAGAAATCTAAATTCCTGACGCAACTTCAGAACGGAGCTTAGGAGCTCAGGATGAGACTTCAGTAGTAGCCACCTTATGTCTATAGTGTTAGTTCCTAAACCTTACATGTCATACAACCACTAGCTGCAGTCCCCACTTTCAGGGGCCAAGAAGGTGTGTCAAGTTAACACAGGGTTGCACCATCTACGAATTCTCTGAATCAACATTCCTCACAGTGCATTCTGCCATACTCTATTTCCTCCGGATGCCCTGTTCAAGAAAGCACCTTGACACTCGAAAAAGGGCCAGAGAAGAGGTCAAGCCAGGGTTCTTTAGGGGAGAAAGAAAGCTTCATTGGTAGAGAGTGGGTAGCCACTGCAGGACTAGATTCTGACCTTCCCTAAAATTCCTACTCCTGGCCTCGTAATCTGTAACTCCTAAAGTCACCCTGGACAACATAATTTCAAGACCCAACCAAAACCCCATTACCCTATGCCATTGGTTCAGTTGAGTCGCTCAGCCGTGTCCGACCCTTTGTGACCCCATGAACTGCAGCACCCTATGCCATCCTCGGCACATACAAACAGAGCTTGTAATGACACTAAGAACATGCTTTTTGGGGGTGCTCCAGGTGGCCTGAAGCTAGGACACTGGGGAGGGAGTGGGGAGGGAGGGGGGTGCCTTGGATCAGAGCTTTGTATTAAGCAATGACATGAACCCCAGAAGAGCTACATTGAGCATCTTTTGAAGAAACTGGAATTTTCTTCTCCTTTCTGATAACTAGGAATTGTGTATCTTGATTGCCAGAAAAGTCAGAGTAAAGCTTGATATATACGACCGATTTCATATGGCAATTCATGGATGAATTCTGTTTCCTCCTTCTTAGGGGCCTGACTTCATTTACATTTTATTTATAGCACATGTGCTCTTTGTTCTAAGTTTTGTCAAACTTTTTTGGGGGCGGGGCAGAATCACAGTATAAACAAATGAGGAAATGAATGAGTGAATGAATGAAAAGTGAAAAGAATGATAATGAACATCTCATTGGTTCACTTGAAGACACACAAAGAAATCCCCCTCCTTCCTTTAGCTCACTCACCCACCCCCACCCTCCACCACCCCTTCCAGAAACAAGTGAACAACAGCTCACTGGAAAGTTGGCAATTTCAACAGAACAAAGTTAACTGGGTGTGGGGGCCGGCAGGAGCTGTTCTGTAGTGGGAGCTCTTGTTTGTAAAAAAAGAGTGCTGTTACTTAAATGTAGCTTCATTGGGTTCAAGCTTTTGTCAAAGAGGAGAGAACCCCCTTCAGCACAGGAAGCCAAATGCCACCCCCCACAATGACGCTGGGGCCCTGCCAAGACAGGCAGGGGTTCAGCAAGATGGACCCTCACCACTGCAGTCTCCTGAGGATGGTATAACTCATTCACACTTGCCTGGGGCTCCAAGGGGTCTGAGACCTCTTGCAGCCAGGGTCTCAGCCCCCACTTTTTGGGGGTGGGCCCTGATCACGCTCTCCCTCCCCCGGCTGTGTGCACTAAGCTTGAGGCTGCAGGTGCCACTGGACATGGGATGAGGCCACAACCTGGGAAAGTGAGGGTACTGCTGATACAGAACACAGTCATCGTGGGTGTCTGCCCCTGGTTCTCAGGAAACAGAGCTTCCAACTGTGTTTGCTGCTTCGATTAAGTGCCCTAAAACCCAAAATGGTTGTCAGAAGTCCTGGATTCTAGTCCTGGAACTTCCACAGCCAGTTTGTGTGACGCTGGGAACTCTTCAGGTTCCAAGGCTCTGATCCATTATCTGTAAGCTGAGGGATGCGATTCAATGGCCACTAAAGGACAGCCCATCCAGCCCAAATACTGGAGCGATCCTGGATCATTAATCAAAGCCATTCTGTAATCTCTGTCTGTGCATGCGTGCTTCAGTCATGGCTGGCTCTTTGCGACCCCATGGACTGTAGTTCTCCAGGCTCCTCTGTCCACGTGATTCTCCCAAGGAGCAGGCGTCTTTTAATTTCATGGCTGTAGTCACCATCTGCAGTGACTTTGGAGCCAGCAAGAATACTGGAGTGGGCTGCCATGTTCTCCTCCAGGGGATCTTCCCGACCCAAGGATTGAACCCAAGTCTCTTGGGTCTCCTGCATTGGCAGGTGGGTTTTTCACCACTAGAATCACCCGGGAAGCCCAATCTCTGCTTTGGGTACCTTTAAAAGCTTTCAAACCTGAACTTAAAAAAAAAAAAAATTAACAGAGGGTCCAGAAGGTATCCCCTTGTTGTTTCTGCCTTTCCATTAAGGATCCCAGAGGATCCTCTAGTTTTAGAGTTACATTTTCTGTTGCTTTCATTCTAATTTAATCTCAGCTAAAAATCCGCCCTCTTTCTTCTGTGTAAATACTGGAGTTAGAAGCGGCAGCTTGGCCTCTTGCCAAGAATCAAACTCGACAGCGTTGTTCTTTTGCTCTACCTTGCATAAAGGGGTCCTGATAGGAAAATGCCTCTGGTTATTTGTTTGGTCTTTGGCTGAGGGCATTTTTAACACAGATGCAGATAACTGTGTCCTGGGCCAAGGAGAACAAACTGCAGGCGACTAGGCATGGAAGGTATGCTGTCAGGGCACCAAGTTCCAACCACCGCGCTCCCAGAACAAGTATCTCACTCTTCATCTTTTAAAATATGTGCCTCATGTTTACAGAGTGTCTGTCTGTTTGCAGAACACATTCACAAGACAGTTTTTCATGGGCCCAGAAGTGTTTTGCATTGGAATGAATCTGCGAGGTCATTCTAGTCCAACATGCCACACGAAGCAAGCGTCCTTTCAGGAACATTCCTGGGATGTGCTCACCTGTCTCAAGATATTTGGAGGCAAGAGGGTCCCTTTACAACAGAGTCCCCTCCAGTTCTCCATCACTCTCACTTTCTTCCTCGTAAGAAGGAATTCACACTTAACATTCAAAAAACTAAGATCATGGCATCCGGTCCCATCACTTCATGGCAGATAGATGGGGGAAAAAATGGAAACAGTGGCAGATTTTATTTTCTTTGGCTCCAAAGTCACTGCAGATGGTGACTGCAGCCATGAAATTAAAAGACACCTGCTCCTAGGGAGAAAGGCTATGACAAACCTAGACAGCGTATTAAAAAGCAGAGCCATCACTCTGCTGATAAAGGTCTGTAGAGTCAGAGCTATGGTTTTTCCAGTAGACATGAGCTTGAGCAAACTTCAGGAGACAATGAAGGACCGGAAGCCTGGGGTGCCGCAGTTCATGGGGTTGCAGAGTCGGATGTGACTTAGCAACTGAACAAAGCAGTCAACATTGCACCCCTCCCTGTAACTGTAGCCCATTAATCAAGGCCACGCTCCCCATTGCTCTAGACCTGAGCAAGTAATCTGTGAATGGTGACGCTGTACAGGTGACGCTGGGTGCACTGGGAGCAAAGTGCGTCATGGCAGCCTCCTAGAATCTGATCCCAAGTATCCACCAGTTGCTCTTCGACTCTGAAGCTCACACTCGTCTGTGCAACAACAGCACTAATACTGGGGGGGTCTCGCTCACAGCAGCAGCACACCCAGAATCTTGCAGGACACAGATCACTGGATGGAATAGCTGGGCTTTTCCATGAAAAGTATTGTTGCCAGTTGAGTAAATGGCTCACAGTTACTCACTTTTATCCTAATTAAAAAAGCACATGTGATTTTTACACCAAGGCCAAGGAAAACTATGATTTCTTTTTCCCTTTTTTTACATAGCTGATTTATATTATTATATTAGTTTCAGGTGTACAACACAGTGATTCAATATTTTTATAGATTATACTCCACTTAAAGTTATTACAAAATCATGGCTATACTTCCCTGTGCTATACAACATATTCTTACTGCTCAGTGCTTTTATACGGAATCGTTTTAATCCTCTACCTCATCTTGGCCCTCCTCCCTTCCCTCTCCCCACTGGTAACCACTAGTGTGTTCTCTATTTCTGTGATCTTTTTCTGTGTTGTTACATTCACTCATTTCAGTTTTTAGATTCCACATATAAGTGATAATATAGTATTGGTCATTCTCTGACATTTTTCACAAAGTAAAATAACCTCTAGGTCCATTTATATTGCTGCAAATGGCAGGATTTTATTCTTTTTATGGCCAAGTAATAGTCCATTGTAAATATATACCACATCTTCCTCATCCATTCATCCACTAGTGGACACTTGGGTGTTTCCATATTTTGGCTATCATAAGTGATGCTACTGTGAACACTGGGGTGCATGTATTTTTTTCAAATTAGTGTTTTCATTTTCTTTAGATATATTCCAAGGAATGGAATTGCTGATTATATGGTAGTTCTACTTTTAGTTTTTTGAGGAACCTCCCTACTCTTTTGCACAGT